CCCTGCCCACCCTTAGGGCAGGGCCCAAGGTAAATTCCTTCCCGGGGACCAGGGACCCCATGTAGACTGGAAGAGGCCCATTCTGCAGGGCCAGCTCCCCCCCGACCCCCAAAACTGCAAAGCAAAACAGGGTTAGCTGCCCATTTCAAGGGATTGCAGTGAGGCACTGGGGACCTCCCAGTGAGAGTGGCCAGCACAGCCCGAGGACATCTCGTCCCCGTCCTCCTGGCCTCAGGCAGAGGGGACCTCACGAGCAGGCTCTCCCAATGGGACCTCATATCGGGGGACACCTCTGGGTTCACAGACACAGTGGGGACGAGACCCCTCGAGGCTCACAGCAGCCAGCCCCACATCTTGGCCTCCACACGGGTCAGGGGCCCTCGGGCAACACCAGCCAGGAACCGACACGCAGCGCCAAGTCCCTGGCCTCCACGCTGTCCGTCTCTGCCCACTGATGCCCCTGCCCTCAGCTCACCGGACAGTGTGTGGCCACGTGTGGAAGAGCCCCAGCCTGGAGAAGTCCACATGGGCTCACAGTCAGCGTCTCGTGGACTCGGGAGCCCCCCCCCCCCCCCGGCCTCTCACTCACTGGGGCTGGTCCGCAGTCTGGTCGTCTCCCTGACCGGTCCTTCCCCTCCACTAGGGGCTCCAGCCTGACCACCTTCCTGTGCAAAACCTTCAGAAAAACACGCGTCCCTGCACGACCGACACCCTGAATGGGCAGGGTCCAGCCCCCAGGCTGAGAGTCCAGTCAGCCCTACTGCGAGGCTGCACGAGCACACGGCCAGAGGCCAGACCCGTGGCCATCAGTGGGACACCCCGAAGGGAGGGGGACCCTGTGGGAAGTGGGCCTGGGGACCAGCCTGACAGCCGTGTGGGCACAGGTCACAGGAGGGGCTGGCTGTCCTGCTCTTGGCCGCCTGCCCCTCTGCAGCCCTGGGCGGAGCAGGCCAGTGGGTCTGTGTGGACTCTGCGGCCATCACAGTGGGACGGCAGGGTCACTTCTAAGCACTAACAGTCCAGGAAGGGTTAACGAACGTGCAGGTGGTGTGAGGTAGAGCTGGACACTCGAAACCTATAGAATTTTATTGACCGCTATAACCCAATAAAGTCTTTTCTAGAGAAAAGACAGCGGTCGGGCTGCTCGGTAGCTCCAGGGGCTGATCCGACCTCTGCCACCGACCCTGATTACGCGCATGTGCAAAGCTAGTGCAGCAGGTCGGTGTTTCTCTCCCCTGCCGCGGTCCGGCCGCAGCGGGTCAAGGGGTCCCACAGGTGAGGGTGGGCGTCGGCGCTGGGTAACAGACGACATCACGCCTCAAAGGACAGTGAAGTTCTGTTCCATTTATTGCAAGTACAAGCAGGTTTTTATATTTTCATTTTAGGTAGTGATTAACATTTGCAGTATAACATGATTATTTAAGCAGAAAAAATCAATACAAAGGTAATCAGTAAAAGTACAAAAGTTCTCATAGATTTAGTTAAAGATTATTTTAACTGCCATTAATCAGACAATTAGAAGTATCTTATTATATATTAAAGTTTCTCAGAATTTGTCATAGGGCAAAAGGATACGCTAGATTGAGTAGAGAAAATAGGAAATTTATTATAAGGCCCTTGTGATGTCTAACTTAGCTATCTACCTTTTTTTTTGCCCAAAATGTCTTTCTGTGTACTATAAATTCTGACTCCCTAGTGACTGTTTAGTTTGTAATAACTAACTAGCTTTTGTTATTTCTTTGTCTAGTTAATATATATTCTTATTCAAGGTAAAGGAGGGGCTATTCTTATGTTGCAGGGGGCTTTTAAGGGTACTTCTTTTAAGTTTCTCTAGGAGTTCTTTTATAACATGTTTTGTACTTTGATTCCCTCTAAGAAAGTAATGAGATCATCTCCTGATTTCCTAGAGTATTCTATCTTATCTTGGGTGTTTTTCCAATGATCTGTTATTGATTAAGCTTGAATTCTCAGATTGTTCTGGTTGTTTCTTTGTACCTATATTCCCTGACGTTTCTAGTATGATATCATTATTCTGTTCATTGAGCCGGGAAAGGTCCAGGCACACTATCTGAATCACTGCCAGGGTATTCATAATGATTAAAGCAAAAAGGGTCATGATCCCCAAAGCAGGCACAATCACAATAGGTATTGCAGGGCCTTCCATGCCACGTCCACCAGGTTGGAAACTGCTTCCTTGAAGTCTTACACCCCCTCTCAGGACCTTGTCACGGAGAGAGGGACCCAACAGTGGACGAGGCAGTGGACGTGGCACTCCCCCGCCTGCGTTCCTCCCTCTAAAATCAATAAATGAAATTTAAAAGAAGAAGATAAATCTGGTTTTCTCAGGAAAAAAACAAACGAAATGTTTTCCCGAAGAACGAGGAGAGCCCCGCCTCCTCTCCAGCGATGGCGGGGCACTAGGCCCCCTTCCTGGAAGCACGGGCGTGGGGGGCCGCAGGTAAGAGAAGGAGCCGAGGGGGGGTTAGAAAGGCTTCTCCGCCCCAACACCGTGTCCAAAATGAGGTCGGCAGCTGCCGGCCCACGCTCCCACTGAGGACACTGCTGCTGGCCGATGCCGGGAGTCAGGGTCTCCAAGCACAGACCCCTGTGAACCCTGGAGGGATAAGCGGCCGTCACCCCCCATCCTGGCCACACCCCTCCCCCTCCCACCCTACAGCAACGAGTCTCCAAGGGCTGCCCACCGTGTGCACTTCCTCCTGGGCCACTCAGAAGCCACCTGCCAGCCCTGCCCACCCCGCAAGCCCTCAGCTACTGCCCCCACAGCCCCTGGTTTCAGGTGGGTATCTGACATCCTACCTGAAACATCCACACCAACCAGTGACAGTCACTGAACCACAGGTAGAGCTGCTGTCCCCTCGGGGTTTCATGAAATTAATAGTTACGATTAACCCACTTTGTTGGCACAGGGACCAGAGCCTGGGCACGAGGGGCTCGGACCGGCCTCGCTGGGCAGGGACTGCCTGTCCCTCACCACTTCCTTCCCGCTGTCCCTCAGCAAAGGCAAACCACACAGTGCCGTCACTTTCCTGCTTTCTCAAGAACAGAGCTCATCCAGACCGCAGCGCTCGCCCGGGAAACACCGGGTCACCCCCAGTCCTGCGGGCTCCTCAGACGCCGAGCCAGCAGGACCGGCCTGCACGCCAGCCCCACCCCCACTGTCTCTGCCCTCACGCCCCTTGTAGGCCATTTCCAGGGTCAGGGGTTCGGATGTCAGCAGCATGGGAGTTGGGCACAGCCCCCTGCCCTGCAACCCACCAGTGTCAGCACTGGAGACACTGCGTCCTGCAGGGAATTCAGAGACAGACCCGAAACTCGGCCCAGCAGGGCTGAGCGCTGACCGCATGGCCAGCTGGCCTCCCTGCTTTTCCTACTCACAGAGGGGAGGGGGCCTGGGGGGCAGTCATTCAAAGTTCCCTGGTTTTGCCACTTAATTCCCGGTTTTGCCCTCGTTGGCAGGTCACAAGACCATGGCCCAACGTGACAGCCGGCGGCTTGGAAGGTGGCACCTAGAGGACACCTGTGGCTGTGCTGGGTGGGCCTTGTGGACAGCGCAAGCCACCACCTTCTCCCTCAGTGCATCTGGATGGGCTCCAGGGCCCCGGGCGTGCTGACCACCACCTCCCGGCTGGCGGCCTCTGAGACACAAACGCAGCTTGTGACTTTGCTGTAAAGGAAGCGGGGGTGGGGTGCAACCCTCAGAGCAGTGCGGCCTGGCTGTCCTCGGAGGGGACCCTCAGATGGGGCCCCTTCTTGCCCTGTACCTGTCGAAGCCTGGTGGCCCTCCCATCAGGGTCACAGAATCCTAGGTGCCCTGTGCGGTCAGTCTGGTGTCCCCAGCCTGGGCCACCATCTCCCTCGTGCGTGTCTCGAGGGCACTGTGTGGTAGAAGTCACCTTCCTGCCTGAGTCACTTCACTCTGAGGAAGTCCTGCTGGTTCGGCTCCAGCACCCAGAATCCGACTTCTCACCCGGCTACTTCTGCCTACAGTCCCCTCCTCTCCCTGCCTCCACCTCCCTTCACAGCCCTCAACTCTGCGGTGTCCTCGGCCCCAGGCTGGAGCAGGGCCTTCAGCACGGCCGCCGGGGACACCAGGGACCTAGTTCTGACCCCTCGGTTCACCACAGGGACTCAGGGACGCTGCACCCTGCTCCCCACTACGCCCTCTTCCCAGCGCGGGTCGCCCCACTTCCCTGTCTTGCCAGGTGCCACAGCACCCTTCACACCTGACACATCTCCTTCATCCGCCTTCCCTCCAGGCTCAGCCCTGGGTTATTGTTGACAGAGCGAGTAACACCTGTGGTCCTCGTGGGCTGGACACACGGTCAGAAGGCAGGACTGAAGCCCTAGCCAGTGGGCCTCAAGCTGACCAGTGCTGCCCTCTTGGTGGGGAAGCCCCGGGAGCCCCAGGTTGATGGTGAGGAGTGCCCCCACATTGCCTCCCCGTTTTCTCCTGTCTTGCCCACGCCCCTCACACCCTGTTCTGGGGTTTTCAGCACTGTGCCTGGAGCCTGGGGAGCTGGGACCCTTCGGGAGACACCGGCCTTGCCTGACCATAGCGTCTGGCCCGCCACGTCCCTCACCGCCGTCGCTGAAGTCCCGGGCCAGATGGCGCTTGAGACGGCTAGGCGAGAGCCCGTCCAGCCAGGCGTATAAGCCGCGGAGCAAGCTGGGCAACCGCGGCGGCGGCGAGGCCCCAGCGCTGGGCCTTGGGGTGCCCTGCTCGGCTCAGCTCCAGGCTGATTGTCCGGCCATTGCTGGGAGACACCGGAAGGGGCGGGTTGTTGTGCCGTTGCCGGGAGACCGGGTCGGGACCTGGACTGGCAGGCGTTTTGCTGAGTGAGTTCCGCCCGGGACCTGGAGGCCCCCCCAACGTGTTCCTGAGACAGGGCACCCGGACTGCTCAGTTTAAGGGATTTAGGATTAAGTCGAAGAGCAAGAAAAGTATAATGTTGTGGACTTTGTACAGGGCACGTTTTATTTTAACAAGCATTGGACCCTTAGATCTTACTAACTGAATTCCACCTTGCTGGGCTTCCATCCAATAAAAATTCACCCAGTCATTTAGAAATTGATCAATAATTTAATAGTAAAAACTAGCTTTTTCTTCTTAAATATCAGGGAAACAGGGAAATAGGCTCCGAAGAGGGAGGGGTGGATGCGGTGGCGGAGTCTTCCTGGAACAAGCGTGTGCTCATAGACGGGTGCACACGCGTGGGCCTTCCACCTGGAGGGGCCCGGAGCAGCGGGGAGGGGGTGCGGCAGGCTTGCAGGAGCCTCCTCCGCTCGCTGGGGAAAGCCATGGCCTTTGGGAGATGCGCACAGGCCACCGTGGCTGCCCTGCCCGGCTGGCGTGGGGAAGCGTGGCCAACGTGGGTGAGAGGTCAGGAGCAGCAGCAGAGTCCTGGGGAAGAGGCCCTGGGCTGTGACCCTGGGGTGCTAAAGCGTGACCTTGGTCCCGCGGAGGTGGCGGGCACGGTGGGGGAGGGCACAGGGCTTCTTGAGCAGGAACAAGTGGCAGACTCGGGGGCCAGGATAATGCCCCCAAGGCTCTGAGCTCAGCCATCACCGCCTCTGGACAGGGGGTTTCAGAGCGACCTTTGGGCCAGCAACTCCCTGGAAGGAGGGAAAAATGAAACAATAAAACCACCTGCTACAAAGCGACCAACTGAATATTACTTCCTTTTACACTTCTTAAAGCTTAGATTTAGTTCACTCAACAATATGCTGGCCCTGTGCACACGATGACTCCACAGGGCTCCCAGCTAACACTCTGTAAAGGATCCACTTGTTACTTGGACCAGCAGGTGAAGAAATTAACAGCCAGGAGAAGCAGCAGTCCCTGAAAAGCCCTCTGGCAGAGTAAAGCCCAGGGTAGAACAAACCTGCAGGTAACAGTTCTCCTCCCAGCCCACGGTGCAGCCCTGGGGCTTGGGCGGTGCCCCACCAGCTGAAGGAACACAGCCTGCCTCACCGGCCCTGCAGGTGGGCACTGTCCTACGGAAGGGGCTCACCTCAGTGGGTCCAGGGTTGGCCCCTTGAGCCCAGGGCTTGACTGGTGGCACGGGGGGCATGCAGGTCGGCCTGACCACCTGGGAGGAAGCAGACACCGTGACAGTGGGCGCCCCGCCTCAGCTGGGGCAAAGCTCTGTCCCGCACAGGGCTACACTCCACCCCAGACCACAGGCTGCCCTGCTGTGCTCTCTCCAGAAAGTCCCGCCCCACACCCTCCTCCCACCCATGACCGCCCGCAGAATGAAACCCAGGCCAGCCAGAGACGGTCACCCTCTCCCCAAGGCCCCCACACTTCCCCTGTACCAGTGAAAAGTGTTTAAACAGCCAGAATGTGAGTCTTGGGAGTTGAAAACCAAGAATTAATGCCTGAAGCTCCAGATTGGGGCAGAGGGCGGCATAGGCCTGGTCCAGCCACGCCTGGTAGCCCGCCCCAGCGCCAGGATGCCTGCGTGGTGCCTGGCATTCGTGGGTTTTTTAAAATTATTTTTAAATATTTTTATAGGTTTTATTTATTTATCTTTAGAGAAGAAAGGAAGGAGAGAGGGAGAGAAATATCAGTGTGTGGTTGCCTCTCACGTGTCCCCCACTGGGAACTGGCCTGCAACCTAGGCATGTGCCCTGACTGGGAAGCGAACCAGGGTTGTTTGGTTTGCAGGCCCACGCTCAGTCCACTGAGCTACACCAGCCGGGGCTCATTTGTAGTTTTTGATGACCCACAAGGACCCTACTGAGGAGCTGGGCTCCTCACAGCCTCTGCCTGGCCATCCCCACTTTCTGGGCCACAAGCTCTCTGCCCACGCAGTCCCCATCTGGCCTGTCAAAAGCCCTCCTTAGACCTTTTTTTGCAACTTTCCGTAAGTCAAAAGTTAGTGTTAAGTCAAAGTTAAGGACGCAACAAAGAATCTCCATTAAGTGAGGACCACAGCCAAGGGAGCCGCAGGGAGAGACGGATATGGACTGTTTACAAAGTAGCGAGAGTCCCACCTCAAAGGGTTGCCAAGACCTGAGGCCACAGGGAGAGACCTGCAGGGGTCAACATTGCCAGTGACAGGCAGGTGGACACCGGGAGCCCCCACAGTGTGCCTGGGGGCAGAGCCCATTCCAGGAGGGGCGCTGGTGGAGGGCGCCGGCCCTGCCTTCTTTCCGTCTGGGCCAGAAGCAGCGGAGGGAGCCGCCTGCTGGACCAGGCGGCCCTGGTCCAGGGCTGAGGTGGGTGGGGAGCAGGCCCAGCAATGAGGAGCACACCAGGACCGGACCCTATGACCTGCAGAAGGGGCTCTGGGTGACACTACAGGTGGCCGGCCAGCAGGGGAGCGCCCCACCCAGTCCTGTGGGGTTTAGGCTGCAGGGCAGCTGGGGGTCTGGCCTGAGGGGAAGAGCACAGGTGTTGCCAAGGGGGTCTCCTGCGTGGCCAAGTGGCCCAGGTCCTCTCACCTGTCTGGACTTCAGCTCCGGGAGGGGCTTGGAGGGAGGAGCAGGTCGGAGCTGGAAGGAGCAGGAACAGTCAGGAGCCCAGGCCTGGACCCCTGCCCTTGCTGATCTGAAACTGCAGTGGCTGCACCCTGGGGTCCCCACCCACCTAATCCAGCCCCTGGACCTTCTGCCTCCCGGGACCCAATTTCGCCACCTAGACTGCCTGACTGCAGGCCGCACCGCTGCTCACCTGTGCTGGGGCTTGCTGGGTGTACACAGGGACTGGGAAGGGCGGGCTGGACATGGTGGCCGGAGGCTGCAGGAAACAGAGCGAGGAGCCTGGGTTTTGAGGGGCAGTGCCTCTCGGGGCTCCCCCTCCACCCCCAGCTCAGGACCCGACATTTCTGCCCCTCCCAGAGGAAGCATAACGCTCTGCCCAGCCTGACCGAAACCCACACCCTCCCTTCCCTCTGCTATGTAAACTGTCCTCGGTCCCTGCAGAGGCCGCCAGCCTCAGATTCAAGTTCAACTTCCAATTCTGTCATCAGTGCGTGTGGGTCCAGAGACCACCTGCCTCCAAACAGGGTGCATGTGGCAGCGGCTCTGAGGCCCTGGGGTCAGGGGTCAGGGGTCAGAGACCTGGGGAGCAGGTTGATGCTTACCGCAGGGGGTGGCCGCTTAGCGGTCACTGCAGAAGCTGTGGGCCTGGAGGGCTGGCCGGGGATGGTGTGTGTGGGAGGGACCAGCTCTGGGGGGCTCATGGGGGGAGCCGAAGCTGTGCCCTTCGCCGGCCTGCTGGCCCCCTGGTAGAAAAGGGGGTTGGAGAGCCCCATGGTAGTCTTGGGTGCCACACTCCTGCCGAGAAAGTTAGACAGGTCAATGCCTCTTGGCCTCAGGGTCTGACCCAGGGACTTGGAGCCCCTAAGTTGGGCTCCCTTGGCCTGGCCAGGGTACCCCAAGCTGCAGTGCCTGCCACCTGGCACATGGTACAGCAACTCAGAAAGAACAGCTTCATGTGTCTCATGCTGTGGCCAGCACAGGGTCAAAGTTCTTACAGGTGGGCAGCTGGCAAGTGGGTGGGGTGGTCACCCCAAGAGAGGGGATGACCCCTAGTGCTTACCACATCACCGACCTGTCCCCTACCCAAGTCACCTGCCCTCACCCCCCCCCCCCCGCCGAGGGCTCTCTTCCTCCTCCAGCAGCAGCGGGGCCATTGCCCCACAGGGTGAGGAGGGGCTGTGCTCGTGGCAGACGGGTGTTTTGCAACCCGGGGGCCTCACCTCTGTCGGATGCAGCTGCCGGCCTTGCGGTGCATGACCACACCTGCCAGGGCAAGGCCCAGAGCCACCAGGAGCAGCACGGGCACCAGCACGGGCACCAGGAGGCTCCCGGGCGCTGTGGGCACATGAGGCCAGGTGTGAACAGGGCGGAGGGTGGGGAGGGTGGCCAGAGCTCTCCTGCCCTCCCACCCTGCAGTGAGCGTCCGCCTGAGGACGCTTCTCCTATGAGGCCAAGGAGGGATCACAGGCTCCTGGGCCCCACCCCTAGACCTGTGGGCTCAGAACACCTGGGACTGCAAGTCCGAATCTTTACGTTAATGACTCCCAGTGGTTTGGGGGCACTCAGCTTCCTTCCCACACCCAGGTGGCCCTGTCGGACCCACGCCAGCAGGCCGAGGGCACGGAGGCCCCGGGGGTGAGCCCTACCTGTGGACGCTTCTGGCAGCAGCTCCACGCAGCGCGGTGGGGCCCAGCCCGGCCTGCAGTGGCACTGCCCCTTGTGGTTGCACACCTGGAGACAGCCAGGCATCAGGAGCCGGCCCTCGGGGCCCACAGAGGGCCCAGGCCCAGCCTTGGCCTGCGAGGAACCCTGCTGACGGGGACAGGCCCCTGTGTCCAGGGGCCCAGGGCTGTCCCACAGGCTGACGGCAGTAGCCCCTCACCCAGGGACGAAACCCAAGGGGGATTTCTAGGCAGAGTAAGGACGGACGGCCCTCCCCAGGTGGCCCGGGGTCTGCTCCAGCGCCTTGTTTCAAGCTCAGTGGTCTCTGGTCCGTCCCCTACGTCACAGACATGTCACCAAGAGCTGAGTGCTCTCGCCCACCTCAGAATAGAGCAATCCAGCCCACCTGTTCACAGGCCTCCGCCCACTCCAGGCCCCTGCCCTCTGTCCCCTGGGGCTCGTCCTGTGCCTGGCCCACAAGTCTCCTTCACCCCAAGGCCCACGCACCCCGTGGCCGCTGCACTTGGCAGAGCAGTTTCTGGATCTGTAGACTTGGAGGTCCTGGCACAGCCCTTTCCAGCAAACCTGAAGGGTGGAGGGGCCTCGTCAGGCAGGGTCCCAAGCCCTGCCGCCCCCACTGCCCCAGTGGCCGAAGCAGACCTGAAACCTGCAGGTGAGCTTCGAGGAGGGGCAGCCATGGCCACCACAGCCAGGGTGGCCTTGTCTGCAGCCCACTGCTGCCACCAGGGCCACAGAGGACCACTCTCGCCTGTCCCCTGGCAGGACTTGCAGACCAACACGTCTTCAAACCACATTAACTGAACTTCCCTGGTGCCTCCGCCCTGAGTCTGTACTGTGGACAAGGCCCATCCTCACCGCCCTCCAGCCGCCAGTGCCCTGCCTCAGGCCAGGTGGGCTCACAGGTAGGCCACGTCGGGGACCTCAGGGGGCGCATGCAGGTCCGTGTCTGGTCACTCACCCTCTGGTCACCACACTTGGTGCCTTCAAGGACTTGCTCGTACCCAGAGCTGCCCTCCGGGCTAAGAGCCTGGCAGGTGTTGGAGATGGTGCAGGAGCTCCGCTCTGGCGGCTTCTGCCCGCCTTCACAGAACAGGATGCCACACGTGTTCCTGTGGATGGAGGAACTTGCCGCGGTGCCCGCCCTGCTGGGACTGCTGCTCTGAGCACTGACACGCGCGCAGGGCCGGGGAGCTGCCGGGACCTGAGGCCCAGGACCCCTGGATGGGCTGCAGGGTTCACTGGTGGGGCACCCACACCCCTAGACACAGTGGCCCGCCTTCCCTCCCACGAGGGCAGCACAGGCAGGCCTGGGGGTCGTGGAGGCAGGGTGGGCCTCTGCAGACCCCTGACGCAGGCCCCTGCTCCTCTGTGAAGAGCACCTTCTTGGGCCACCCCACTGACGGGGATGTCCCAGGAGAGGGGGTCGGGCTTGACTGGACGCTCACCCTGCAGAACCAAAGAGGCTGCCGCTCCTGCAGCCCGGCAGGAGGCTGTAGGTGTAACACCTCTCCATCGCGGCCCGGCTGCCTGTGGGGGCAGCAGGTCAGTCCTCTGGCCCGTGACCTGCAGCCACCCTCAGGCCCACGGGTCACCTGCTGCCCGCCTCACCTGGCCCCCACAAGTCCTGGCACTGCTGGGCCCGCGTGGGGCAGGCCCCGCCGTAGCAGTAGCCCCCCGCGCAGACCGTGCCGTTCTCCTGGAAGACGTCCTCTGGGCAGGCTGGCTGGCGGCCGTCGCAGTGTTCCTCCAGGTCGCAGGCATCCTTCTGGGGGCGGCAGAGCTGGCCAGCCGGCTTCACCTGGCCCAGCAGAGCAACGCTCAAGGGCAGAACGGCAGGCCCCAAACAGACCCACGCCTGTGACTCGGTGCCCACCCCCTCCTTCCCTGGGGCCCCTGCCCACCCGCGGACCTCGGGGTGCAACTGGGCTTGGGGTGGGGTGGGGGCTCACCCTGCACTCGTGGCAGCAGGCACCGTGGGCACACTCGGCCCCTTCTGCCAGCTGGCAGGTGGTGGCGTTGCAGCAGCGGTTCCGACAGTCCTGCTGGGCGGGGCGGGGCCCTGCTCAGGGTCTGGCCACCCAGCAGCCCAGGCCCACCTCCCCCCACGACCCGCCCTCAGGTGGGCGGGGCCTTCCTATGGTCCCTTCCTGGTCACTATGGGTGTCAGAGGGCCGGAGCCTGTTCCAACAGTGGCTGTGGGCACTCCAGGGGCCCAGAGGGTCAGGACCAGATGTCCTAAACCTGTGGGACGGAGACCCCGGGCTGGTGCAGGTAGGGAAGGCGCCAGAGCATACCTGGGGCTGGCCACAGTCACACTGCTCCCCGCGCTCCACAAACCCGTTCCCGCACACGGGGCCGCCCACCAGGCGGTTGAGGTCCGGCTCGTTGGCCAGGCAGGTTTCCCGGAGCTTTTCCATGAATGTCTGCAGGTCGGCTTGGCTGCAGTGGCTGAACACACTGGGGTACGGGGTGCTGTGGGGAGGGGTCTCTCTCAGGGGGAGGGCAGGCAGCGGCAGGCCGCTGTACCCCAGGACCCCCTGCTCTGCGGGCACCTTCTGTCAGTGCGGCAGGACTGGCCAGGCCTCACCTGATGCTGGACGCCATGACGCACTTGCGCGTGGGGGGGGCCGCGGGGCAGTAGCAGCCCTGGACGTTCTCGTCGTGGTTCATGCCCAGGTTGTGGCCCATCTCGTGGGCCATGGTGCACGCCACACCGATGGGGTTCGTGCTGTGGTCCTGCCGGGAGACAGTGCTGACCGGTGCCTCCCCCTTGGCCCAGCTGCTGGCCCGGCCGCCCGAGCAAGCCAGGCGTCCCTCCCTGTCGATGATTTTTAAAACACAAAGCACCCTCCCGAAGTGGCTGCTCACGGGCACAGCCTGAGGACCAGCAGGCGGGCCCGGGTCCTGGGGTCTCCCCAGCATGCGCCCCACTTCAGGCTCTGAGTGGGGCTCCCCAGCCGGGCAGGGCCCTCCGCACCTGGTTCACAGCCCCCGAGTGCGGGGAGCACATGCTGGACACCTTGGCCAGCCCCACGGTGTCGCCGGTGAAGTCGATCCCACTGGAAACAAGAGCAATGTCTGCAGGTGGACACCGCGGGGATGGCCACGCTCCTGAGGCCCCACGACTCCGTGGCCCTCCCCAGCGGTGGCCCTTCCAGCGGCCAGTCACGCGCTGCCACTCACGTGATGAACTGTGCGTTGTCGTGGCCGTGCCTCCCCACCAGGTGCTGCATCCGCCAGGCCAGGAAGTTATCCAGAGTGGCGCTGGCGTCGGAGCTGACCTGGATCTGGTCCTTGCCGGTCCACATATCCAGGCCTACCAGGACCACACGGAACCCGAGCTCCTGATACAGCTGCGGGAAGACGGGCGCCGGTCAGGCTCCCGGAGGCCAGGCGCCCACCTGGAGAGGCGCGTCTGCTCCGAGTGGGACTGGCTGGGCTGCCTCCTCCCCACCCCACCCCCCAACCCCCAGCAACCAGGGTCTCTGTCAGGCTGGGTGACTCCAGGTCCAGGATGGGTCTGTGTTGCTGGGAGCCTGGAAGCCCCTGCCGGCGGAAGAGCCTGTGGCAGCCCCTGGGGGGCCCCCTCAGGGTGAAACTAGTCCTCACCTTGTCCACGTGGTTCACCACCTCCAGCACCCGCCTGCGCACAGCGTCTGTGCTCCGCAGCCGCTGGAACTGGAGGACAGCAGACCCTCAGCCGGCAGCCTACGGGCGGCACCCTTGCTGCTCCGCCCCGCCCCACCCACTCAGGGCACCTGTGCGCTGTCTGTGACCACATACAGCTCCACATAGCGGGTCTTTTGGGACCACGGCCGGTTCTGTGAAAGGGCAATGAGAAGCCAGTCAGCGGCCACAGTGACCACAGCCCAATCTCCACACTGACCATCTCTCGGGGCCCCCGCTTGCTCAGTGTTGGAGGGCCTGTCTGCAAGGTGCCAGCCCTCCCTGCAGCTGCTGGGCAGAGGCAGGCCCGCACGCTAGGGGGTTGGTGGGCAGCGCCCTCGCTTTACTGCGTTCACAGGGAGCCTGACGGGTGGGTGCGGCCATGTGGACAGGGATGTAGCTGGGCAGGGACCTTACCCGAGGCCTGAAGGATGCCGAGGCCCGCGGGCCCAGGAGGCTGTCCAGGCTGGTGTTGCTGACCCCACAGTTCCCGGCCTCCTGACGCAGGTGCTGGGGCTGGTAGAGCGCGTGCTGCCCCTCCTCCCCGCCCCCTGGCAGCGGCTCAATCAGGTGGACGGCTGAGCCCACCCTGAAAAAGCCCCTGTAGGCAGAGGGGAGCAGGAGGCCCCAAATCAGCGTCCTGCCCCCTGCATGCTGCCCAGGGAGGGACGGAGAGCTTGGAAGAACAGGAGGCCCCTGCTCCGCTCTGGGACATGCTGGGGACAATGTCCAGGGCCCTTGGGAACCTCATGCATCAGGAGCCTGTAACTTGTAAGAGGAGCCTGGACACCCAGGAGCAGAAACGTGTCCCCAAGTCTGGCCCCTCTCTCGGCTCAGTTCACTGCTCTGGATGGCCAGGGTGGCGCTGGGGCCCTGACCTCCTGACCCCGTGCCTGGGTCTGCAGCTCTCACCTGAGGCCGTCACAGGTGCTGAAGCTGGCAGCGGAGTGTGGCTGCCCCTCCACGTGGCCCTGGTAGAAGCAGTGGTCCTGCGGGGGGGTATGGGCATGAGGGCTCTGCTGGCCTCGCCCCCGACCCCCCACGGCCACCCTGGGTGGGCCACCCGGGCTGTACCTGCCCCTGCAGTGGCTCGGTCACCTGCGAGCCGTTGGCAGCTGTGTAGGTCTCCCTGTAGTTCGAGGCCACCAGGTCCCTAGAAGAGAGCCACCGTGGGGCCCGGACCCTGCCTACCGCCCCCACAGAGGGACCTCTAGGGAGCTGTGGGCCCAGGACACAGGGTGCTGTGGGCAGGCCCAGCCCTGCTTACCTGTTCTTCCGCAAGTGCAGGGTGACGTTGTACCCCCGGGTCCCAAGGACATAACTCACACTCTCTGGGTACAGGCCCTGAGCCAGGAAAACAGAAGGGGTCCAGAGTGAGGACCCTGCCCCAGGATGTGCCCACCTCGAGCCTGGAGTGCAGCTCAGCTGGTGGGACCGCAGCCTGAGCCAGGCTCCCAGCCTGGAAGCCCTTCGGGGGACCCTGAGGGTCGCTCAACATCAGGATGGTGGAGGACGCTGGACTGCATGAGGGGGTCCTGAGCAGGCCCCGGTTTCCACACCTGTCCACACAAGGACGACGATGCCCCTTCCCCAGGAAGTGAGGGGAGGGGGATGCAGCCCAACAGGTAGCACAGGAGGGGGATGGGGGCCCCTGTAGCCCCAGGTGTCCTCCCTCTAAGAGGTCCCACCTTTCCCTGCCCCTGGCCAGGGACACTGTGCACCTCGCCTTCAGAGTGGGGTGAGGGTCCAGGGCTCTTCCTGGACAGTGAGGTCAGGATGGGTTATCACTCGCCTCGGGCAGGCAGTCTCACACACACACACACACACACACACACACACACACACACACACACACACACACACACACACACACACACACATGTCCCGGCTCCAGGAGGGACCTGGGCCGGCTCTGGGGAATCCCAGCCCAGCCCCAAAAGCCCCAGGAAAGGTGTGTCACAGGCACACTGCACACAGGGAGCGGCCCACCCCACCCCTCCAGCATAAGGAGGAACTTGGCTTATCACAGCGAGTGAAACTGGGGAGTGGCCTGGGCCTCAGGGCTCCTGGAAGGAGCTGCGCTGCAGGGGCTGGACAGAGCAGCCCACAGGGAGAGGCAGGAGGTAGGAGAGTGAGGCCGGGGGGGGGGGGGGGGGGAGGCCAGGCCAGAGCAGAGAGAGCCCAGGCGAGCAGGGAGCCCCTTCAGAGGTCTGCTCCAAAGCCCAGAAGCCCACCTGGCTCTCAGGCCCAAGGGTGGCCTCCGCAACCCTTTAGCAGTCAGGCTCTGTGGGGTCAGGGAGGGACCGGGAGGGACCCCCCCACACCACGGCCAGGCCACTTTCCAGCCAAGACTCACCAAGCCAGAGGGCAGTGCTCGGCGGGTCCGGGACCCCAGCAGGCGCTGGGGCCACACCACCTCATACTGTTCCACATGGGACAGGGGGGTGCTGGGGGCGACCACTACGAGAGAAAGGGGTCAGCCGGCGGCTTGCACAGCACCTGCCTCCTGTGCTGGGTGCCCCTTCCCAGGTGAGACAGCACGGGGTCCGGAATCAAGACGACGTTAGGACCCCCACCCTGGCAGGGTGGACCCTGCCCCTAGCCAGCCCTTCCAGGAGCCCACCAGCCCTGGGTGGGAGGCCTGCCCACCCTGCACTTCCCACCTGTTACCTGGGCAACAGCCCACCTCCCTGGCATCAACGGCTTGGGGTCCACAGCAGGGCAGGCCGCAGCCACTCAGAGACCCTGCCCTTCCCCTTCACAAGTGGGCGTGCCCCTGTGGCCATCACCTTGTCCACCTCCGGAACTCGAGGCCCTGGAGGCCCCCCAGCCCTGCCGGCCCCTGAGCTGCTGCTCTCTTGGCCGCCTCCAGTATGGGGCTGGGACATCTCAGAACCTCAGCCCGGGAGGTTCTGGGAGCGGAGCGGGGGCAGGGCCAGCAGTTCCCTTGGTCTGCCCCAGGCACTGGTCTCCCTAGTTTCCCCTTGAAGGTCAGTCTGCCCACCTCCCTAGGCCTCCCTGCTGAGTGACCACCTGGGGCAGCCCAGGGCACAGCTCCCCTGAGGCCAGGTGGCCGCCCTCCCGGGACAGGAGCCCCCTCACCCCTGACCTGGCCCGTCCCGCACTCACCCTGCAGCCACAGTGTTCCAAGCAGCCACAGCCTGAGGCGGCCCATGGCCCGGGTGAGGGCCGGGAGCTGGGGAGCCGGGAGCATGGATGGGGGTCTGGGACTTGGAATCTGGGGTTCTGGGGGCTTGGGGTCCCAGGAGGGGGATCTGGGGACAGGGAGGGGTGGGGCACCGGTAGAAATGGGGGTCTGGGTTCCTGGGGGACAAAGATCTGGGGGCTGGGGAATGAGGATGGGGAGCCAGGGGTTCGGTGTTCAGGGTCCAAGGGCACAGACGGGGACCCGGGGGCCCAGGGTCTGAGGGCGGGTGAGTGTGGCTCTGCCTTCAGCAGCCTGTGGGTCCTGGGCTTTAAGGCACTTCCCCGTCCCGCCCCACCCTGACTACTACAGACCGCACTGGGGGCGGGGCCCTCAGCACCTTGGGGGAGGGTGCCCTGCCCCTCCTTCTCGTCCTTCCTGCCCTGCGGCTCCTCAGTGTCCCAGCAACTGACTACCCAGGTTCCCTGGGGGCCCAAGCACACAGACAGGCTTCACAAAGGTGGACGAGTTCACGCAGAAGGGGGTGACTGGGCCAATCTGGGCTGTTCTGGCAAGGCTGGGCCTTGTTGTGGAAAGTGACTTGGGAAAGACTGTCTGGAGGGAGGGGTGTCGGAAGGTGGGGGTACCCCAACTTCCCAGGTAGCAGAAGGTTCCTGCAGCACCTGTGAATCCAGCCAGGCCCCAGCCCTGCTCCCCTGGGCCCTGGAGGCCTCCCTGGGGAGGGGTCACCTGGGAATCCAGCCCACGCCACCTCTGTAGACTCCACTCTACATAGAGGCCCCTCCCAGTGGGGTTGTCCATGGGGCTGTCCCAGCTGGGCTCTGGGGGTCCCCACAAAGCACCAGAGGTACTGTGTCCTGCCAGGTGGGGCCACCCAATGCTGCCCTGACGTTGAGGCTGACACAGGTGGGTCTGTGCCCTGGAGACCCCGGCCTGCGACTGGGCCGGGAGGGCTCACCCCACATTCCAGGATGCTGAGGTGACAGGTTGTGGTGTCCACAGAACAGAGGTCAAAGTTCAGTGGATCATGACTTCCCCCAAAGGGACCGGCATAAAGAGGCAAGAGGGCCGCAGACTTCGGGGAGTCGGGCAGAGAAGACGGGCCCTGGCCAGGGCAGCAGTGTGGGCAGGGCTCCCAGGGAGGCTGCTGCCACCCCCGGGTCAGGCCCCTGGGCTCACACCCCACACGAACCCCAAGTCCTCCCTCGACTTCAATTCTGACGTCGCGTATTCCAAGTTCAGGAGACTGAAGAACCGCAGGTCCTGTGCGACCCTCCGCGAGCCGGCCGGCCTGCACACAGCTTCCCACAGGCGCTTCACGTCAGCAGCCAGGACCCACGTGGGCCCAGAGCCCCCACCCAGCCCCCAGGACGCACTTAACTGGTCCCTCTCACCAACGGCAGGTGCTGCTGGATGCATCGCCACCTGGAGCCTGGAGCCGCAGCCCCGGGCAGGGACAGAGTCCTGCTCCGAGCAGCAGGCTCCTCTGCTCGGTCTCCGTGCTTTATGACACTACCCCTGGCCACCTGGGCCGGCAGGTGAGCCTGTGTGATCACAGGTCCCACCTGCACGACCTGCAGAAGAGGAAGCAGTCTGGGCTTGTCCAGCCCTGCAAGGCAATAGCCCGGGCAGAGCCACGCATGCGCACGCCCCAAGGGGCCCTTGTCTGAGCACCTGGGCCTCCTCGGAGTCTTGGTCCTCATCTGACGAGGCCACCGCAGCGGGCAGTTTGAACTGGATTTCAAAAATGACACGAGACCCAGCAGAACGCCCAGAGGTGCTCGCGGCAGCATCAGTGCCACCCACTGCAGAGCCCGGAGGGGCTCGGGTTTGTGGAGTGCACACCCCACTGCAGGCGGAAGGGGACAGAGGCCTCAACCTCAGCCCTCGGGGCCTCCTGACTCGCCTCAGGGTGAGGGGCTGCTGCCCCCTAGTGCCGGGAGCACACCCTGGCCAAGGCTGGAGGAGTCTGGCCGACTCTGGGGAGCCCAGCCCCAGTCTCACGGCCACAAGGCATCTTGGCAATTTACCTTGTTGTTGCTGAAATGCACTGTCTTTATTTGAAGCCAAAACACAAACCCCCAGAAGTGCCCCTGCTCCACTTCAGTGGGCTCACAGGTGCGCGCCCGCAGAGACGCTGCAAGCTGGGTGCAGGTGACGTCCAGACTGCACGCCGAGATGGAACAGTGAGCGCAGCACACACTCCGGGACTTCTGACTAGAACCCCAAACTCACTCATCCGCAGCAGCACCCATTGGCCACCTCGTCCCCCCTTCAGCTGTGACGGGTGCAGGGCGCCAAGGGCCTCACTGCGCGGTGACAGCGACTCTGGGTGTGGGTGCGGGGGCCAAGGGCCCCCGTGGAACGGGCACTTGGGGCGCTGCCTTCTGGCTCCTCTCTGCAGACAGGCGCTCCAGGCGCTCCGTGTAGAAGCCATTGAAGTCGAGCCTGTGGGGTGAGGGTGGGGCTGGGGTGACGCAGACGCCCGGGGTGGGGTCCTACCCTACGGTGGCTGCACAAGACCCCACTTCCTGCCCACAGGTGAAGGGGGCCACCGGCACACTCACACACACGTGCACACACACACGTGCAGCCGAGCATGGCCCCCTCGCCCAGCCCGGTCCCACCCTCCCCTGGCCACCTCCTCACTGCTCATCAGGAGCAGGGGGTGGCGCTGCCCTGGGCATGCAGGGCAGGGGCTGTGGGGGCCCATCCAGTGGCCCAGGCAGCACAGCAGTGAGCAGGGCTGACCTGGGCCCGCGCGCACTGCCCAGCACACCCAGGGGAGCGCACCCCCCGGGAGCAGGTGCACGCTGCCACGTCGGGAACGACACAGGACCAGCGGCAGCTGTCTGGGGACCCGAGGATGGCAGGGAGCCAGGGAAGGAGCCAGGGCCCCTCTCGCACCTGGAGATGACACTGGCCATGCTGTGCTCGCAGTCGCTGGTACTGTAGAGGCTCAGGCGGGCCAGCAGGTCGAGCAGGTGGGCTGAGAAGTTCTTGTCGAACTTGTTGACAGTGGCCTCAAAGCTGGAGGCCAGCGGAGGTGAGTCCACGTGCTCAGCCAGGTGCTGGAAGACAGAGTCCAGCCTGCCTTTGTTTTCCTTTTACGTATTTTCCACAGGATGAGTTTCAGGAAGTTTTCAAGGGACCAGAGATGAATTAGGGTGGAGCTGCACAGGGAATGGGTTTCTCTGGAGACCAGCTGGGTTTTGCCGCGGGCACCCCTCCAAGGGGATGGCAGGGGAACACGGGGCTAGCGGCCTGACGGGTGATTGAGGACAGACTCTCCTGAGGGCTGCTGAGCGCCAGGCCATTTGGGGCACCCGGCTCAGCCTGAACTGTCTCCACTCTGAGGGGAAGCGGGCCTCCCTGGAGCACAGCCATGCTGGGGGTTGAGGGGGACTCTGGGGTGGGTAGTGGAGATTTCTGTGGCTTGTGTTTGGAACCTAATTTTATGATGGTCATCTTTTGCCCTGGCTGGTGCGGCTCGGTAGATTGAGAGCCAACCTATGAACCAAAGGGTTGAGGGTTTGATTCCCAGTGAGGGCACATGCCTGGGCTGTGCGCCAGGTCCCCAGAAGGGGAAGCATGACAGGCAACCATACATTGTTGTTTCTCTTCCTCTTTTTCCCTCCCTTCTCCCCTCTCTAAAAATAAAGAAATAAAATAAGAAATGGGTAATACATTTTTAAAAGGTAGAGAGGAAGACAGAAATGAACGGGTGGTAGCAGCTTAGTTCTCTGGGGTCAGGACCCGAATCCTGTCAGCTCTCTCAGAAGAACAGAGGACACATCGGACTGACCCGCGCGGCCACCCACCTTGCGGGCCCGCTCCCCCGCCCGCTCGGCCTCCGTGGGCGGCCCCAGCATGTGCTCCAGGGCCCGGCGGCCCAGCTCGTCATCCAGGCTCATGCTCTGCGCGAACCTCTTGGGGGGAAAGTGCCTCTGTCATAACCAGTGTGCTGCCAGCAGAACGTCCCCCTCGTCACCTGGGACGCAGGCAGGCGCACCCTCGGGAGGCTGCGGTGAGCCAACACCACCCCCAGGCTGCCTGTCAAGGGCTTAGGGACCAATTTCTCTGAAAACACTTGTTTCCTGGTTTGCAGCCCCACACGGCTCCTAAATGAGAACTGGTCACTGTGCACTGTCGCCAGCCACCACGTCCTGGGCTCTCCCGCCTCCATGCCCTCCCACAGGCCCCACCGGCTCAGACACCCCCGTGCCCGCGAGCCTGGCAGACCCCCACGTCACCCCTTCCGCCCCCAACACTTGTTCTCTGTTCCCTGGCTTGTGACAGGTGCCCAACCAACACCGCATCAGAAGAGCCACGCTCTGGCAAAGGGGCAGCGTGTTCAGGACACCCCGGTGCGTGTTCAGGGAGGGCCGCGGGCCGCACCTGCATGCAGTTGGTGAACATGACGCACACGGACATGAGCTTGGAGAAGACCTTGAGCAGCTCGGGGTTGGTGAGCATGCAGTCCTTCAGGCAGGTGTCCAGGAAGCCCGTGTGGTGGCCCAGCACATCGTCCAGGTTGGAGGCCTGCGGGAGCAACCACACATGTGCCCACGTGTGCCTGGCATCGGCACGGGCGCTGCACACTTGCTTTGTTTCCGTTTTTAAATGGGCCTGTGGTCTTTTAGGGGAAAACTTCCCAACACCACCGAAAGGAAATAACGCTGAACACGCCCCGAAGCCTAAGGTTTCGATCCCCACAGAGAGAAGGAGGCGTGGCCACTGGACACCTCCTGCTTCCAGAATGCAGCCAACAGTGAGGAGCCTCCCGGCTGAGAAGCCCCAGAGAGCCCAGGACCTGCTGGGGGGGTCGGCTGGCCACCCCCGACATGAGGCTCTAGAGCTCCCGGCAAAGGGCAGGCCCCCGTGCTGTCAAACAGCCCCACCCTGGGGCTGCATCTGTGGAGCAGACGCCCCCCGACACCACCCGTGTCGCCCGAGGAAGGACAGCGTGTGCACAGGCGCGACTTCTCCTTACGGGGCTCTGAGTGCGGCCTCGCTGACGGCACCGCCACCCTGACCTGACCCAGCACCTTCCTCTCTGAAGACCCTCCACTGTGGGATGCTGCTGGCCACTCTAGAGCCGCTGAAGTGCATCAGAACTCACGGATTTCAGGTTTTTCTCAAGAATGTGCCAGGTTGGCTCCATGACCTCAAACATCATGTAGTACTGGATGTTCTGGACAAAGTTCAGCATCCGCTGCCGCAGGGTGAAGGCGCTGGCAAACCTAGGGGGGCAGAGGTCGCAGGAGCTGCCATCTGCACCAGGGCCGGGGGTCGCAGGTGCACCTGCCCTGAGCCGCACCCGGGACATGCCGCCTGGGGCTCAGACACAGGCACAGACCACTCAGGGGCCACAGACCAGCGGGCGGAGCGCCTGGGCTCTAATGGGCAGGGTGCCGCCACCTCGAGGCTCCCGCCCTGGGAGGAACTGAGGTCCTCAGGGGGTCCCGCCCAGAGAAGCAGCCAGCCCTCGGGTTTGTGCAGGTGGATGGGGGACAGAGCCAGAGCTGCTTGTGGACGGCAACTGCCACGCGCACCCTGGGTGTGCGTACGGGGACCGCATCCCGAGTGGGGGCGGCACGCACCACTTGGCGGAGTGCAGCGCGTGCTGCTTGGCGGCCTTGTTGCTGATCCAGACGCTGCAGAGCTGCCGCTCCACGTGCTTGCAGTAGAACATGTGCCGGAACAGCATCTGGTAGCGCGTCAGGGCCTTCCTGCGGAGGAGGAGGGCACGGGGTCCCCCACACCCGGCACTGTGACGGGGCTCCGGCGGGGACCCTGGCCAGACCCACGGGGCGACCCCACAGAGCACACATGGTGGCAGAACGAGCCGAGGGGCGGGCCCGTCTGACCCTTCCTCCTGCAAGCCTGGACACTGCCCAAGGGACCCCGCTCACCTGTTAATGATCAGCGACAGGGGCCACTTGACCACGTAGTCAAAAGAGAAGGCCTCCAGGCCGCTCAGCGAGAGCTCCGTGGGGTCGGCCTGCACCATCGCCTTCTCCTGCTGGGTCTCGATGGCCAGCACCCGCAGAAGCTGAGTGATGAGGTCGTGAGGCATCAGGTCGATCTGGGGGACAGAGAGACCGGAGCCTTGGGTACGGGCCCTTCCTCGCTTTCTACTGGGGTGGTCTGGAAGTCCGCTTAACGAAAGTGTTCCTCTGCAAAATAAAAAACACTTCATTTTCACTAATAACCTGACTGATTTGGATGTTCTGAGCATGTCACCTGTCTCCTGCGTGGCATGACGTTGAATGTTCTCAATTAGTGTCTCAGTTTGATCCCTGTCAACTTCAACTGCTCTACCTGACCGTGGAGCATCGTCCAGCAAGAAATCTGGCATGAAACCACTTCTGACACATTCAAACAGTCACAACACCTCCTCTATACACTGCACAAATCTTTTTTGCTTTTCAGTTTTTTTACCTTTCTCGAAATAATAGACCATAATATGCCAAAAATGTTGTGTAATTCCTTTCACCTTTAATATTAAAATGGTTACGCAAAAACTCACCAACTTTGGTGAGTTTTTAAAAATGCACACTGAGACCTGACTGGTGTAGTTCAGTGGACTGAGCTTGGGTCCACGAACCAAAGGGTCACCAGTTCGATTCCCAGTCAGGGCACATGCCTGAGTTGCAGGCCAGATCCCCAGTAGGGGGCGCATGAGAGGCCACCACACATGGATGTTTCTCTCTCTCTCTCCTTCTCTCTCTCTCTCCCTTCCCTTCTCTCTAAAAATAAGTAAATCTTAAAATTAAAAACAAAAATGAACACAAAAAAACCCTAAGAAGCTTTCAATGCCTCTTACTTTAAAAAAAACGTGCACTGATGCGACAGCTGTCATGACGCAACCTAAGGAGACTGTTTACAACGACGCTGAAGACGACGAAGTGCTGCCGGAGCTGACCCACGGAAAAGCCAACGAGCTTCGTGGCCAGCCAGTGAGCGCTCGTCACCGCGCTCTCACCTGCAGCGCGATAGTGCACGACAGCCGTAACTAACATCGGGTTTCAGTTTTGTACGACTCACCGAAACAAAGCACCGGGCCCCGATGCCCGCCCACCTGTGCCGATCAGCCAGGAAAGCAGCCTAGGACTGGCGTGCGGCCCTCTGCATCTCGGAGACTGGCTCCGAGAACCGGCCGTTCCAGAGAAACTTCAGGGATGAAACCACTTCCCATTAAAGTAGAAAAAGAAAACTACAGACAGAGGACTGTGTGAACGAGGGTCTACAGGGTGCACCGCGTAAACCTGAACCCCGCTCCTAGGGACCCCCCCACGTGCCCCAGGCCCAGGCCAGAGAGGACAGCTCCGGGCAGACCGGACGACCATCCAGGCTGTGCTGTGCCTGACGCCAACGCATTCAAACGTTTACCAAGTGCCAACCGCCCGCTCGGACGGTGCAGGAGCTCCCCTATCTGAGAGGGGAAGGGGGGCTCAGCGTGGGGCAGGCAGCACAGGCGGCATCGTGTGAGGAACAGGCGGCTGCCCCTCCCACGCCCGGCCGGGGACTGACCGCACAACCCCGGCTGCACCCTGCCCAGCAAGGGAGCCAGCGACCTTTCACTTTGTGGGACGACACCCAGCCCCTTGAGTCCCACCAGCCAGGGCACAAGGTTCAATCTAGTAACTTCACTTCCAGGAATCGACCCCACAAAAACAGTCTCGCACCTCAGCACAGACCCCAGGTACCCAGAGTGAGGGCTGAAGACTCAAAGGAGAAACAGCTCTACAATCACGGTGAGACCCGACTTCCCACTTCCAACAGCAGACGGACAAGCGGACAAGCGGGCCGGCGGCAACAGAAGGAAAACAGAAAAAGTCAGAAACATGTGAAAATTAAACACCATGACGACAAACAGGTGGAAAAGATCGCAGTGGGGACCAGACAGCACGACGAGCCGAGCTGCACGGGGCGTGGAGAGCCTGGCACGGAGGCAGCCCAGGTGCGACACCTCCGCAGACACGGGAGCTCGAGCCGGCAGCCTAGCTTCACACCCTGCAAACTGGAAAGAGGACCAACTGCACCCAAAGCAGCGGAGGACGTGGCGAGGAACAGGGCAGAAACGGAGGAAGGGGCAGGGTGCCCGCCCCCGAGGGCACTTCCTTGGCCTCAGTAACTTGCTCCCTGAGTTCCCGCGACCTCTGCTCCTCTGCGACCCTCTGAACAAAGCGTCTCTCGAACCGTCTGAGTCTCAGCTCCGAGCTCCCTCTCGGCCAGGCCTGACACCCCAGCCCCGCCGGACTCCGGTGCTGCTCTGCCGCTGGCCGGCGGAGCCCAAGGAGCCGGCGGGCAGCAGCGGGAGTGACCGTGGGGCGGGGTGCGCAGTAGCTCGCTCTCCAGCAGTTACTAAGCAACAGGCCCTCTGCCACAGGCCCCCCCCGCCCCCCCGGGGGCCCCTGTGTCATTTGAGAGGTGCAGAGACCCGGGGAGAAGTGTGACCTGACGGCCAGGCTGTGAGGCCTGAGAGGAGGAGGCAGCTCGCCCTGCTGACGGTCCCACCCCCGGGTCTGAGGAGACGGGGCTCCACCGCCGTTTGTCTCGTCACTGACTGCTGCTGTCACCTACCTCACACACACGCAGACGGAGTCTGAGAGGAAAAACTTACAAACAAAAGCAGATTAAAAAAAAAAAAACAGAAGAAAGCCCTGGCCGGTGTGGCTCAGTGGATTGAGCTCCGGCCTGTGAACCCAAGGGTCACCTGTTCGATTCCCAGTCAGGGCACTTGCCTGGGCTGTGGGCCAAGTCAGGTTCCCAGCAGGGGGCACACAAGAGGCCACCACACACTGATGTATCTCTCCCTCTCTTTCTTCCTCCCTTCCACTCTGCCTAAAATAAATAAAATCTTAAAAAATATATCAATGAAACAACGAAACCCCAAATTGATTCTTTGAAAGGTCAACGAATTTGCCGAACTCAAGTAACTAGAAGGGGGTGCGGAGAAAACGCAAATGAGAAACCAGACGGGAAAGCAGGGATGTCGCCGTCAACCCCACAGAAGCCAGCAGGCTCGTGGGAGCCAATCCCAGCTGCCAGCCTGGGGACACCAGCAGCCAACACGGACGCGGGCCCTGCAGCCCGAGGAGGCCGAGACCACCTCGCCGGCGAAGCAGCGCACACGGAAAGAACTGACCCCGCCCTCCCGACACCGCCAGAAACCGGGGAGGACGGAACACGCCCCCTCTCCAGGTACGAGGCCAGGGCTACCTGGGAACCACAGAGACACACAGGGGCAGTACAGGCCACTGTCCCCGAAGAGCAGGGACGCGAAAGTCCCAAACAAACACCGGTGAGCCACATGCAGCCACGTGGAGAAAGGAACACACCCCGCGGCCAAGTGGGGCTCACTCCTGAGGCCAGGATGGCTCAACGCACAGGAGCCGATTCAGCGCACGGGGAGGGAACCCGTCCATCCTCTCACCTGGGGCAGGAGGCACCCTTGGCCGGCGCTGGCGCGCCCCCACCCCGGGAGGTGGCCCACCTTGAGGTCGTCTTTGAAGGGGTCCGTGTTGGCGGTGCTCATGCGCAGGGCCAGCTCCAGCAGCGCTTCCAGGCGCGTGGGCGTGATGTCGTCCACCGGCTTCTTCAGCTCCTCCTCCGTCAGGTCCATGAAGTGCACGAAGAAGTCTCCCTGGTCCATCAGGAAGTAGCGCTTGATGGACCTGGGAGAGGCGACCAGCGGACATCAGGGAGGCTGTTCCCGAGACCAGCCGCACTCGGGAGCAACGCTGGCCAATGACCGAGAAGAGAAAGTCCCGCGCGGGGAGAGGGCTCAGCCACCACAGTCAGCGTGACTGTGACCGTGGACAGCTCTCGGTGAGCGCAGTGAACAGCTCTCTCGGGCAGGACCACCAGGCCAGGGCCTGCAGGGCGTGCTGCCAGAAAGGGGTGGCTGTGGGGCGCAGACGGGGCCTGGGTGTGGGTTGTCCCAGGCAGGGAGTGAGGCAGGGAGCAAGGGTCCTCGGGCGTCCGCAGTAAGGCTGCACGAGGGCTGGCCTGTGCCCATTTGGGAAACAGCAGGCGGACTGCCAGCAGCCCTGGGTCTTGGCCCGCCTTCCACACGTCATTCGCCACACTCGTGGGGCTGCGTGCTCCGGGGACGCACGCACCTCAGGTGGGCCACGAGCTCCTGCTCCTCCATCAGGAAGTCCAGCAGCACCTTGCTCGCGTAGTTAAAAGCCTTCTCGATCTGCTCCACGTATGCCCGCTCCTTCAAGGTGTAGATGACCTCTTTGGCCACTGGGCAGGTGACGTCGTGACCACACTCTCTGACTACGTTCAGGTACTTTCCTGAAGAGAGACGGGGGGGTGGGGGTGGATTAAACACCCCGTGGCACGCACAAGCCAGAGGGCAGACCGGGCGGGGGCTCCGAGAAGCCACTCCAGCCTCCGTGGAGACGCTGGCACCAACTGTGGCTGGAGCGGTCACCGCGGGGGGTGGGGTGTGCAGCGACTGTTCACGTCCGACTCTAAGCAGACCATGGAGACGGGCTCCGGAAGCCTCACGAGAACCAGACTCCGAGCCGCCTCCAAGCCCAGTCCGACAGCCACTCTCAGCCACTGGAGACCTGGCAGCCGGCCGGGCTTCGAGCAGTGCCCACACTCGCCTTCTGGACCCAGCGAGGGCACCAGAAACACAGTGGGCCAGCGTCCTCAACAGCTTTTCCTGGAAGCTGTGCGACACGGCAGGGTAAGACACACATGATAGCTTCCGCTACCGAGGGGGCTCCTGGCCGCCCCCAGCGAGCTTTACGGTGAGGCTGGTGGTCCGAGCAACTAGCCAGGCGAGGAGACGGCTGCAACTATCGGCCCCGCCCGGCGCTGGGGAAGGGGCTGAGGCCGGGGCTGAGGTGATGGCCAGGCCACCAATGTGCCCTGCTGTGCCCCAAACATGAGACGTCCACAAAGCCCCGAGGAGGGTGTGAAGAGCTTTCAGGTGATCAGTGAGCATGTCCACCTGCCAGGAGCCGGCTCACCCCGACTCCACAGGGACAGAGGCTCCTGTGCTGGGGGACCCCCGACATCTTCAGGGGAGGTTGCCTATTCACCTGGCGCCCTTTACCATCAACCAGTCACCTACAAAGTAAAGGGCTCCCAAGTTCTGTGAGCCGCTCTGCCAGGTTATCGAGAAACAAAACCCAGGGAGGGGTCATGGGGAGCCCTGATCTGTAGTCACCTTGGACAGAAGTGCCAGTGGCCCAGGGACCCCAACGCTCGTAACTGGTGTGTGAAGTGGGGCTTGCTGCGTCTGGGCGTCAGCGTCAGGGCTCCGTGGGCCTGCGGGACAGCCGGCCGGTGTCCGCAGAGAACCAGGGGCCTGGGGGCTGGTGTGGAAACCTACACACGTGTCAGTGCTGTGAGCAAAGCAAGGTTCCCTTTAGGTAGCAACAAAGTTCCAGAAAGTTCACGGTGAAGGAGGAGGAGAGGCACCTGTGGCGACAACCTCCTAGGGTCAGGGAACACAGTGCCATCAACCAGGGCCCAGAGCCAGAGTGAGGCCGGCGCAGCCCCCCACCAGGGACGCAGTCACAGGCCCCCCGGGCCTCACCTGTGCTGAGCACCTTGCCCGCCATCTTCTGCAGGAAGGAGGGGATCTGCCTCTGGACCACCGTGTACCGCTGGTCCCAGTAGCGGTCGTTGTAGTCCTCCTGGATCTTCTCCTTCCGCAGCTCGTGCTCCTCGACCATGAACTCGCTGAGAGCAGCACACAGGTGTCCTAATCGCGACCGTGGGGCTGAGCACAGCCTCAGTCTCCAACCCTGCCAACCACACAGGGCGGCAAGGAGACCGCGGCCAGAGCCGGGGGGAGGCCGGTTCATCTCCACTGGGGCCTCTGACCCGACCCAGCACTGTCGCCCCTGAGCCCACGCCTCCCATCCCATCTCAAGTGTCACCGACACCCCAGGAGCCTGGATGGCCCTCCTCACTCAGCCCAGAACACCTGCTTTTGTTTTGGGGTCATTAGTAGAGGAACTATTCGTGGACCACAAACTTATTTTAAAATGCTTTGGAAAGTACACCTCGACGCAGCAGAACCCTGTGAGCTGACACATTTCGCCTCATGCGCTGAAACCCGTCACACTGGAGCCCGCACCACGGAGCCCAGGGGCACCCCCGCGGGCCCACCTGTACGGGTCGTTGATGATGCCCCTGTAGATCCACTTCTCCAGGATCTCGAAGTAGGGCACGCTGGCGGCCTTGGTCAGGTAGAGGCAGAGCTCCTGCGCCTGGCTGTCTCCCGTGTAGTTGAAGCTCCGGTCGTGCAGGAGGCTCAGGGTGGCCCCCCCGACACACTCGCCTTTATCCACGGAGGTGGCTGGGAGGGGAGGCGGCACTCAGCACCGAAAGCAAAAGCCACGCAGAGCCTGACCTCCAGCTCCCCACAGGACAGGGGCCTCTTTGGAGGATGCACCCAAACTGCAAAGCTACAGCCGGTCATACAGTTTGCCAACAAGAGCTTCCAGTTTCCTCCCACGAGTTAGTGACCCACGAAGCAACACTGCTTTGGCCTCACAGCCACAGGGACAAGACCCACCTCATCCTCACACCAGGAGTGGCCACCCCACCCCGCGGTCTCCCCGGGACGCACCGAGCGAGGCCAGGATGTCCACAGTGCGCAGGGCCGGCTGCACATAGAACCAGAGCTTCGGCAGCGACAGCAGGCCCTGCCTCTGCAGCTGCTCCAGCTGCGACACCAGGATCAGGTGCTCCTTCACCAGGGTCCGCATGGCAGCCGCCAGCGCCTGGTTCACCTGCCCGTACTCGAAGGAAGACTTCTCCTCAATGAACCTAGGGAAGGAGGCATTGGCGGCTCTGAGAAGCAGCAGGTGCTTCACGTCCAGGTGAGGCCAGGCGTTCTGCGTCCAGCACCAACGTCTACTCTCGCTCTCACACACGGACTGGGCTCCCTGTACCCGCCCGAGGCCCTCAGTGTCCGGCCACCAGTGACGCTGGGGCGACGTGTGCTCGGAGCCCAATGTGTCCAGGAAGGCCAGTGTCCAGCGCCCACCTGGTCACGGTGGAGTAGCTGGAGGCCACTGGGAGGATCCTGTTCACCAGCTCCCTGATGGACAGGTCCAGGTTGGGGTCCACAAGGAAGGTCCGGCTCTGTCTCCCAGTGAGGGGCTGGGCAGTGATGTACCTGCCGTCCACACCCACCAGCACGTAGAGCAGGTCCTCCACGATGGCTGCCTCCTGGGAGGCCAGGGGCAGTGAGCCTGTGGGCCGCAGACACCGCTGGGGCCGCTCGCCCGGCCTGAGCCCCGTTCCCGTAACCTACCCGCCAAAAGTCACGTTCTCCCTCGCTCTGCTCAGATAACTACAGAGGTAAGAAGTAGCTGCTCATTCGGCTTCAACTGACCCCACTGGGGCACCGGTGGCTTCTGCAAAGCCACCAGAACAGAAGGCGCTACCCAGGCAGGCCAGGGAGCCCAGGCCAGTCTACCAGAGCCTGAAAACACTGATCAGGTAGAAACCCCTACACTCAGGCTGTGCCTGGTGTAGCTCAGTGGATGGAGGGCCAGGCTGTGAACTGAAAGGTCGCCAGTTCAATGCCCAGTCAGGGCACTTGCTTGGATCGTGGTCCAGTCCTCAGTTGGGGGCCTGGGAGAGGCAACGGAACGATGTTCCTCTCTGTCTTTTCTCCCTCCATTCTCCCCTATATAGTATTTTATTTATTTATTTTCAGAGAGAGGAGAACGGATGGAGAGAGAAGAGAAACACCCATGTGTAGCTGCCTCTTGCACCCGCTACAGGGGACCTGGCCTGCAACCCAGGCACATGCCATGACTCGGAATTGAACTGGCGACCCTTTGGTTCACAGCCCACATTCAATCCACTGAGCTACACTAGTCAGAGGCAGTAAAACCTTAAAAAAAAAACAACAAAAAGAAACCCCTGCCCCAGGTCCGCGCCCCACACGGGAGCACACTCGGGGCCCTGACAAGCGTCTCCAGTGGAGCTGAGCGTGAGCAGTGAGCACACGCTGCTCTGGGCTGAAGGGGGTTTCTTCACGGTCACGTTCTGCCATCAACACACAGCGCGAGAGGCTTCCCTCACGACGACCCCGCAGACTTGAGGGCAGTCCCAGGAAGCCATGGAGGACTGCCCCCCAGTGCCTCCCAGCCCCGATGCCCCCAGCCCCGGAAAACCCACGGAGACCTCCCTTTCACCTGGACCGATGGCCACACGTGGGGAGCCGGAGGCAGCACCAGGAGAAGGTGTCTCTGAGAACTGCCCCAGGGCATCTGAGACCGAGGCCCAACAGCGTGACGGCACAGCCCCACGCCCACCCACCCGCCTGTGGGCGCAGCACGGGCTCCGAGCACAGCAGCCACCCACCCACGGGCCCACCGCACAGGCCGCTGAAGGCACACGCTTCCAGTACCTATAGGCGCAGCTGCATCTGTGCTTACACCCGAGCCGGTCAGAAAGTCCCCAACCAGTGTGGGCCTCTCGTACACCCACGCAGGGAAGACAGGGAGGCGATGGCCTGAATTTTTTTTGTTCTGCTTGTCTCGGAGCATCTTTCTTGTAAGTTCTAGAGACTGGTGGGAACATTTTTAAAGACAAAAATGAAGATTCACGTTCAGTGCCAACAGTTAGAACTAACACCAGCGGCACTGAGAAAGCCAGTCCCTAAGCACACGAGGGTTCGGGAAGGAAGTGCACAAGCGCAAGGGACAGAGGCCTGGGTCCTCGACAGGGTGTCAGTCTGTGCAGGGCCCACAGACCAGCCGGCAGTGCCGGCAGCAAGGACACCTCACCAGGGAAGGCTGACCCTTGGGAACACCTACGCCTTCTCTGGTGGCCTACACACGACCTGCTGGGCAAAGACGTGGCCCCAGAAACACATGGCTGGAGACAAGGTGCCCCCCACCCAAGCCCCTGGAGACAAGGAACAGATGAAGAGCACCGCCCAGGGAGGCCTGGCTGCAGGCACTCGCACGGAGCAGTGGCCCTCCCGGGGGCCTGGCTTTGCAAAGGGCGGGCTCAGGCATGAAGAGGGCACGTGCAAACTCGGTTTCCTCATCTGTCACATGGGTTACCAGCGTGACAGCTTTGTGAGCTGATGGACATAGGACATGCCCCACCCTTGTTGGCCACTGTCCTGGTCACAGTGGCTGCGCTCAACAAACTAAGCTTGGACCCTCACGGGGACACAGCTCTGTGGGGCTCGAAGGCCAGAGACAGCGCCATTAGCAAACAGACGTACATCAAGAGAACAGGGCAGGGCACAACTTTAAAACCAAGAAAAGCCGTAAGTACAGGGTAAACTGTACAGAAAGTGTCTATGAAATACCTTTTAAAATAGAGAAGTTGTCCAAGACCAACAGAGGGAAATGGGGAATTGCAGTTTGCATTAGCAGGTGGGCCAACTGCCCTGGGTGAGAACCCCCCGCCCCCCGTCCTGACCCTTGTCCACACACAGCGAGTCATGGTCAGCACTCAGACCCGCCTCTAACAGACGACGGTGAAACGTTCAGCCCCTGTGGCGGTGAGTGTGGGCCTGCAAGCGGGGGCCGCAGTACCTGCTGCCATGTGGAGCCCGCGGCCACGCTGCCGAGCTGCTTCCTCAGCTCCTCGAGCTCCTGCAGGGAGATCCTGGTGGCCGGGGCAGGGGTGCTGAGGCTGGTGGTGCTGCCGGCCGCAGCCGCGGCTGCCAGCTCGGCTCTCTCCCGCGCGTTCTGCTGCAAGTACTGCAGCGTCTGCACACACAGAGCCCTGCCTGACACGGGGCCACACGTGCGTGCGCCCCGCCCGGCACGGCCACCCCACCCCCTTCTTTCCCAGCCCCGATGACCCCGTGGAGGGCCAGAGCCGGGCTCCTGCCAGCCCTGGAGTTGGAGTCTGGTCTCTCAAAGCTTCCTGCCCCAAGGCACCACGCACTCCACTAGCACAGAACACCACCCCACAGTGGCTTTAACAGCCAATCCCCAACCGCTGTGCCCAGGGCACTGCCCCTCCTCTACACCTGGTCAAGCCCAGCCCCCACTCCGCTCCCGGCACTAGAGGTCAGCAGGTGCCGGCTACGCCTTTACCCCTGAACAGGCTGGGGGCCTCGGGCAGCAGGGGGAAGGACCCAACAAGCCCCTGGGTGCCCGAAACGTGCTCTTCTTAGCGTCACATGTATCACACACACGACGTACATTAACAAATGAAGGCGTGAGACAACCACCGAAACCCAGCCCCCAGAGACAGCAACTCTCAGCCCCTCCCAGGTCTGTCGTCTGCTGCAACAGCGTGGCCAAGCGGCGGGAGAAGCACCAGTGACACGGACTCGTGCGGTGCCACTTCTATTGCCGAAGTCCACGGGCTTAAAACACTCACTAGCCCCGCCCCGCCGTGCACACTCCCTGGACACACGCAGGACCCCGAGCGCGACGGCGGCTACCTCTCTGTCCTCCGTGAGCTTTGACAACAGGTACACCAGTGGGTCCAAGTTCCGTGTGTTTTTAGACTTCAGTTCATCGTACTTCTTCAGGAAGTCTTCTGGAGTACGAGAGAATTCCGCTATTTTAACCTCAAAAGCACAAACATGAATGAATTAGTGATGATAATGAAGAACTGTAAAAACATCTTCCAAAAATTGAACACACAGCCCAAATACAGTGAAGTCAGTTAGGCTGAACAATCGACCACACATCACTGCAATAAAACTGAGATGACGCATCACCCACTTCGTGAAAGCACACCCGCCCCAGGTTTCCCTCGTGCTCCACTTCCCTGTCCCCACAGACAACCACGCGTTTCTCCCCTGCGGGTCCGTGCGCCCACTTTACTCTGTTCCCTCTGAAATGCGTCATATTCAGGTTCAGGGGTTCTATTCTGATTATAATTTTTAAAAGGAATATACCTCTTCTTTTTTAAACTTTATTTACTTATTTTCAGAGGGGAGGGGAAGGAGAAAGGGAGTATCAATGTGTGGTTGCCCCTCATGTGTCCCCTGCTGGGAACTGGCCTGCAACCCAGCCATGTGCCCTGACTGGGAATTGAACTGGTGACCCTGTGGTTTGCAGAATGATGCCAACCCACTGAACCGCACTAGTCAGAGATATTTATTGATTCTAATGAAAGAGAAAGAGGGGGAGGGGGAGAGAGAGAAACACTCATCTGTTTTCCACTTATTGATACTTACATTCCCATATGTGCCCTGACCAGGGATCAAACCCACAACCTTGGCATAGCAGGATGACACTCTCACAACCGTGTTACCAGGGCGAGAGAATTGTATACATTTTGAATAAAGAAAAATAATTCACTTGAAAAGGATTTCAAGGTGGTCACTCCCAGGAGCTCCCCTTTCCATCAGGGAAATGCCTGTGTCACAATGTGACCACATATCAGAGACACAGCTGTGCGCGCCCCCATCATGGGGGTGGAGGGCGTGGTGATGGGCCTGGGCTCCCTGAGCTTTCAATAGACCCCTCTGTCTGGACTGAGGGGTAGAACCGCCGCAGGGTCCACAGGAAGACTCACCAAGGCTCTCCGGCCTCATTGCCAAAACGGGAAGGGTGGCCAGTGGGCAAGCTGAACTCTGCGTAGCGCGGACAGGCACTCACCTTGGCGCTGTGTGCGGACACAGTGGTCGTGACGTACGGGGTCCGGTTCTTCTGCAGCAGGTCGATGTACACCTCGGCCCCCTCCCCACCACGCACACGCAGCAGGCTGAGCAGCTCGTTGACATCATGGTGGATCCGAAATTCACTCATCGCTTCGGCTCTGAGACAGCCTCACAGAGTGTTCTGAAGGTGGGAAGAAAGCTATTTATAAAGACAAAACGCTTTAACATAAAGACTTTAAAGCACTCAAACGTGGCCCACGTCAGATCTTTGAGAAACGAGACCATCCTGTGGGCCGCATGATTCCCCTCTGGGCCACGACCACAACCACGACCACCTCCTGAGGACCTTCCGCCCTCTGGGGCTTGTTCCTGGGGTGAGGCCTCTCCTTCCTGAAGGAGGCGCCCCCGGTGTCGTTTGTCATTTCTCCCTGGGCACTGTCTCCAGTACACATGTGGCCTTTGGGGACCCACTGTTCCAGCCAGCTTCCAGGCCCATGCCTCAGCTCCAGAGCCTGTGGGCACAGACTATGAACCCACAGGCTGGGCCTGCCTTCACCCCAGGTGACCACTACAACACCAGGCCCTAGGCCACTGGTAGGCAGACGCAGTGGCCCTAGTAGGGGTCCTGGGTCTGTGCAGGGAGCTCTGCACAAGCCAGAGCCACCGACCCTTGTCCCAGCACAGGCATTTAAACCCCAGCTCCAGCCCACAAGGTCCACATCTGGTTCTCAAACCCTGTGCTGCTCAGGTCTGCACCCTCTCTGCACTCGGGTACCTGGGACATCTCCCACTCTTGCCCAAGCTACACATATAGGTGCTTTCCCTACAAGTGCTCCCCATTCCCTGTGCATTTGAGTTGGGTGGGGTTCCACCTCTGCTCAGCTGGCCCTGCTGGCCAGATGTCCCGGAGCCTCCCCATTAGACACGGAACCCCCTGACCTCAAGGCTGAAACTGAGATGTGCCCAAGGGACCAGCACTGGCCTGCACAGGGCTCTGCTCCCACTGATGACAGGCCCTGCTGGCCATCGCCATCAGCAGTGCTGATGTGAGGAAGTGAACAGACACACAGGCAGTTAGCTGCAGATTGGAAAAACAAAATGGAGCAACCTTCACACACTTCACACACACAGGTCAATCTACCTACACACGCTCCCAACTCAGGTCCACGAACAACAACTGCTGGGATCGGAGCAGAATCATTTCTGTCTGTGAACTTCCCGAGATTGTCTTTCAACAGATTCTTAAAGGGTCTCAGATCCAAAAGAGGTTTGGGACCACTGTGCTACCAGTGGTCTCTGCCACTGGCACAGGAGCCACCACTAATCAGTCGGGAGTCTTTTTTTTTCTTTTTAGAGGAGGGCCTGAACGCAGTCCCCCACTACTACAAATTATGCAGTCAAGTTTCCCACATTTGGGGAAATCGCAGGGGTCAGCATATCCGGACTGCAATGGATAAGCTTCGCCCTGGGAAAAACCACCTTCGTGATCATGGTATCTCCCCGGCCAGGTAAATATCTCATTCACGAATCTTAATCGTAACTGTGATCTCTGGGGATGGGAAACAAGTTCTCTGGATGCAACTGCTGTTCACCGGACACAAACATCCAACACTGGTTCCCATCCAGCGGGAGGGCAGAGGAGGCACAGGCTGGTGCCCAGGTCGCCAGCGCAGCAGCTGCTGCAACCAGGAGGCGCAGACAGGAACCCGCAGCCGCGGGCGCCTGGAAGCACCGGGCCCACCCGCCGCTTGAGCGCCCTGGGGGGGCCCTATGTGTCCGATTTTGCACCGCGGGCACCGGGCACCGCCGCTGAGCGGCCGGAGGAGACTGGAAGGCAGACGGAGCGCAGGGACCGACCGCCAGGACACGGCCCCAGGACTCGGAATGGGGAGTCAACGAAGAACTTTAAGCAGAGGCTTCCAATAGAACCCCAGCTTTCCGGGGACGGGGAGAAGTCGGAGGACGGGCGCGAGCCTTTGCACCACGGGCTTCGGGAAGAACCTTGCCGCTCCAGATGCACTCGCCGTACTCACCACCGGCGACGCGCAACCGCTGGAGCCCGCCGAAACCCGCCGCCAGGCCTGCGCCGGAAGCGGAAGTGGTTCTCAACGTCAGGTCCGGCCCCGCCCCTGCCGGCTCGAGGACGGTGGCCGACAGGTGAGGGAGGCCTTTTGGCGCGGGATGATGCAGCTGCCGCCCGCGCTGCACGCCCGGCTAGTGGCCGGCCCTGGGGCGGCGGAGCCGCTGCCCGTGGAGCGGGACCCTGCCGCCGGGGCCGCACCCTTCCGCTTCGCGGCCCGCTTGGTGCGATTCCCGCAGGAGCACGAGTTCTTCGAGGTACGAGAAACGAGGGACAGGGTAGTCGTTGGGAGTGGGCCTTAAAGCCGTGGGGCGGGGAATGGGCGGGGTCTACGTTGTCCGGCGGGGCGGGACTAAGGCGGGAGTGGGCCGGATACCGGGTGGGTGGAATCTCTAGTTTTGTGCCCACGGCATGTGTCCTGCAGGACGGGGACGTACAGCGGCACCTCTACCTCCAGGACGTGCTCACACAAGTGTCCGAGTCGCCGGAGAGGCCCAGGTGAGCTGCTTTGCGCTCCGCGCCACCCCTCTTTGCTCCCCACCTCGCCCCCTTCCCGGGTCCCTAGCCCCTCCCTGGTCATGCGCCCTCCGCCTGGCCCACCGTCCAAGCCCCGCTTTGTTGACCTCGCCTTCACCTGGGTGGCCTGTAAAAATTTCACTGCAAAAAAATATCCGAAGTTTTACAGGCTACTTAAAGGGAAGTTGTCGACAACCTAATATTCATAGTGAGCAGCGGTTTCCTTTGCCAGGGTGCCCGAGTTCACCTGTCAGGTGGCCGGCTGCTGCCAGGTCTTCGACACCCTGGAGGACTATGAGCACCACTACCACACTCTGCACAGAAACACGTGCTCCTTTTGCAAGCGGACTTTCCCCTCGGGGCACCTGCTGGACATCCACATCCTGGAGTGGCACGACTCCTTGTTTCAGATCTTGTCCGAGAGACAGCACATGGTGGGTGACACAGCATCTGGGGGGGCCTTGGACTGGAGCTGTCTGCCTGAGAAGCAGAGCTCCCTGCTCCGGGGTCCAGGCAAGAGCAGGGGGTACCTCCCGACCCTTGGTCCCAACCCTATGGGTAGGGGGAACACCATTTCTATTTCAGTATCAGTGCTTGGTAGAAGGCTGCACAGAGAAGTTCAAGACCAGCAAAGAGAGGAAAGATCACCTGGTGAGACGTCACCTGTACCCTGCGGACTTCCGGTTTGATAAACCAAAGGAAAGCAGAGGGTACGTGCAGTGATGCGCATGCTGACGCTGCAGGATGTGGCCACCCCTGAAGTCAGGGAAGCCTTTGGGGTTATAGGCACCGGGTCCCTTACTGTCGTATTTGGCTGCGGTTAACAGAAACCCTGACAAGTTGGAGCTCTTGTCCACAGGTGGTAAGCAGGTAAGGGCCTGTCCTGTGTGCAGCTACCCTGCTGGAGGGAGGGCTGAAGGGGACAGTCTGGTTCCCCAGCTCTGCAGGGAGTCACTGGGTTGCCATCTCGGTGCCTCCCTTGGGGCGTTTAGGATGTCGCTGTCTTTGTCTGCACTCACGTTTCGTGAGGTTGTAACTGACCTGTGCCCAGCACATCGGCTCCGCTTGCACATCACCTGCTCTGTGAGCCTCTGGGACTTTGTCCCGGCCCCATGAGCTCCACGTGGGGCCCTCTGGCTTTTCATTTGTCCTGTCGATATTTTGATGAGCTTGACCACAGCCCTTTACCACACTCGACTGTTTGGGGTGCACTGTGGGGAGATGCCCCTGCGAGTGGCTCTGAGGTTTGCGTTGTGTTTCTTGGCCTCTTTTTAAACCGATTCTCTCAGGTAGATCTTCATAACCATCTAAAAACCATATTGAAAGTCGTATTTTCAGATATACTTGTTTTCCCCAAACAGGATTTTGCTGTTTAAAATAATTGCAAGGACTCGCTGCATTGTGGGAGGTTTTTATAAGGCCTTGAGTAGGAGGGAATTCCCTTTTTACGGAGAGGTCATTTTAGGACAAAAACCCTATGCTGGGTCCAGACGCCAGTATTAGGGAGGAGACTCTCAACACTGTATAGTTAGTTTGAGTAAATTCCTCACTGGTGTGAAAAGATTTCTGTCACTGTCCCTTGGCATTTATCACAGGGCACCATGAAAACACCCTTCTGAAGGCAGTGGTTGTACCTAAATTCATAAAGTGTCGTGTTTATAGCGTCCACACACACATTTGACCTTGCAGGAATCCTTCGCCTTGTCCTGGTAGCCTGACAGTTACGTGACACCAAAATAGTGGCGAAGCGCCTCAGCAGGAGAGATGGTCTCTTCCTGACGAGTGCACTTCTGGGGTGGATGGGGCTGTGCCCCCCACTGTGGAGCCCCGCTCAACTCTCTGCCTCCCGCAGCCCGGCCACGCCCACAGCCTCCCTGCAAGTGTCAGCAGGAGCCCCGGGGGACAACAGGAAGCAGTCGGAAGGGGACGCCATGGAAGTCTGCTCTGAACACACACTGCCCCCCGCAGAGCCCACGGGTGAGAGGCGGGCCTACAGCCGCAGGTCAGTAGCTGACAGCTCTGAGGTTCTGAACGTGGAGAATTGTGGGTTTGACCCTGGGAGAAGCAGATGCTGCTCTGGCGTGGGCTTCAGCGGGAGTTGGAAGCCTGGCCGTTAGCACTTCCGGAGGATAGCTCAGTGTCTCTTGCTCACTCTGCTTCCAAAAGCCCTGCAGTGCAGGACTGCGGAGCACTGCTCCTTCTGGACGGAGAGGCGCTTGGTTGCGATCGCTGAAGGTGCAGTTGAATGAGTCTGTGTCTAGTATTAATTGTGCTTTTATTGGGTTAAACTTGAGTTCAAATCTAATCTTGAGGAAAACGTTGGGCAAATGAAAAACTCTCAAATGAATCCAAAGTGACAGAAAGAAGGACCCATGTTCCTCAGCTGCCTTCATGCAGCTGCTCCTGCTTTGGCCACAGAGTGAGTCCAGATGCCAGTGGGCAGGCAGGGTTTCAGCACGGGGCGGGTGACGGGAAGTCACCCAGGGAGCTGGGCGGGAGCCAGTGCCCACAGGAAGCAGGTCAGAGGCTGGCCAGAGGCAGAGGGAGCTGCCCCGGAGCCTGGAGCAGGATCTGCGAGGAGAGCGAGCCGCCATCAGGATTGCTCCCTGAGCGAGAGAGAGCACGAGCATTCTGGAACGAGAACACACACACGGCTGCTCTTAGGGACTGGGCTGTTGGTGGGCAGAGGGTGCGGCTCCAGCCTGAAGACTTTTTTCCGTTTCAGAATACCTTCTACCATCTGTTTTGGCCACGGCGCAGCACGTGGGTTTAAAAGCACCAAGAAAAGAAACAAGCACCAGTGATGACCAAGGCCAAGGAGGCACTCGCGGGGGTGGGACTGGCACCCTCGGTGGACACGGTGTCAGCAGTGAGCTTTGTCTCTCGCCTACTTGTGTAGCTGCCCGAGCACCAGACCTTTGCCACCTCAGAGTCTCAGTCCCTGAGCGAGTGGCCGGGTGGCAGCAGCAGCCAGCGGCAGCAGTGAGAGACTGCGGTTCCTGGGGTGGCCCTGACCTGCGCTCCAGCCCACCTCCCTCTGTGGGGGCCACCCCACCGATGCCCTTTCAAAGCAAATGGTGTACTCGAGCGGTCTCCAGTCGTCACTTCCATGCTACGGAACTAGACTGAGAAAGAGAGGTGATCATACGGGAGCACTTTGTGTTCAGCGTTGAGTCATCACGAAGACTTACGATGAAGTCTCGGCACCTCTGGCCGGCGGAGTGGGTGCAACGCCCTCTGTCCGACAGGTCCCGCCTGGGTTGGCCTGCCCTGCAGTGTGAGTGGACCCTGCTCTGAGGCAGGCTGCCTGTGCTGGAGGAGGAGCACCAGCCGGGTGGCCCCCCCGAGGAGGGGCAGTGCCAGGTGGAAGGTGGGGGCCGGCGCCAGGACTACAGTGCCTGGCTGGCATCTTCCTGGCAGGAGCGGAGCAGAGCTCGGAGGCTGCAGTCCCCTCACCGACGGTCAGCGGGCAGCCAAGGAGGCAGCTGCACAGAGGCCAGGCCCGTGTGTGGACTCCAGTGCGTGGACACAAACAATGGTCAGCACTGTTTCAATCACATAAGGGTGTTGCCCTCGGCCCGGCAGGGCAGGGGCTCCGGCGGGCCTCCCCCAGATGCCTCGTCCGTAGCGGGCATGTGCCTGGGGTGCTTCCATGCTGGCTCTGTGCCCCCACTTGGGCTGGGCCAACAGCAGAGGGTTCCCCCTCCCCGCTCCCCTCCACTTGCTCTTGTCCTGGCTCTGGGTTTGGCCACAGGCAGCTGCCCAGCTCTGACAGCCACCGCTGAAGCCCTGAGAGACCTGGGGGGTGTCTCGGACGTCACATAGCAATGCCACACCTCGCAAACCCCTCCCAGGCTGCCGGGTGCTGGGGGAAAGGGTGGAGCCTTAAGTGCAGGTGCTAGTGTGTTGGAGAGAAGCCACAAACACTTCTCCTGATGGAGGGGGGCCGGCCTTGGTGAGGGTCACACCAGGGCTGCCAGGGTCCCGTCCTAGAGAAGGGGGTAACGTGCGGGAGCCCCGCTCGCCCACCCACCCCCCTCGCAGACCCTGCCTCTCCAGCACAGCCGTCTGCGGCGCATACTCTGAGCACTTGGGCCGCCACGGAGGCCTGTGTGTCACAGTCGGGGGGCTGTCGGTCCTGGGTGCCCACCGCAGCGGCACCCTGCCTAGAAGGCGACTTGTTTTTGTCTCAGTGTTTCTTCTGGAACATGGAACATAAAACTCTGCGAGGGTGTGGCCGATGAGTGGAAGAGCCGCCAGTGTGATGGGTTCTGCTTGTGGTAGGAAGCGTGGCAGCCACACTTGGTTTTACGTGAAACACGCAGCATTTCAGCATCTGGGTGACCCGGCCTGTGGGGGCGGCTGCACCTCCCCAACTGCCGCGAAGTCGCATCAGGAGCCGGGCGCAGCGTCGGTCAGCACCAGCACACGGGGTGCGGCTCCGGCAGCAGGTCCGTCTGCCTCACAGACCCACGCCAGCCCCGCAGTCCGGCTCCCCACGGGCAGACGCTCTGCCCCCTCCTGCCTCCTTCCTTTTCTCCCTTTTGTGCCTTGTTTCAGGTGAAATGAGCTTTTCTCGTTGTTTTTTGGGGAGCTAGACACTCTCGTAATTATTTCAGTAGTTTTCCCAGAAGTGTTAGCATTACATCAAAACGTTACTTCCCTGGTTCAGGTCTAAGGTTAATCACCGTCTCTGCCCTTCCCCCAACAGGACAAGGACTGCGGACTCTCGAACGCCGCCCTCCCCTGCCCTTCCCCGACCAGAGTCGTCCCTGCCCTCTGGCCTGTCCGATCCCACGGGGCATCGGGGCTGTGGGTCCAGCGGTCTGTCTGTTTAAACCCCCACGGTGTGTGGGAGCTCTTACCTCTGCCAAACATCTGTGGTTAGAACTTCCTTTGGCGACAGTCAGTGCTAACAAAGTTCTCGATTGCATCTGCCTGAAAAAGCTTTTATGATCCTGTTCCTGAAAGATGCTGTTGCCAGGCACACAGGGCCTGGCGGTTTTCCCGCCGCACGTTGGACACGCCCCATGGCACAGCGCAGCGCTCACGGTCACTGCCGAGAACTCAGGTGTCAGCCTGGCCGTTCTTTAGAAGAGTTTGCCTTCATCCTTGGCGCTCCAGGCAGGTGTGTGAGGTGGAGACGCCTGTCTGTGCAGCTGCTCTTCGCTGGGTTTTTCTTCGAATGTTGCCTCTACCCCGTCTGTCCCTTCTCTTTCTCATCTTCCAACTAAGTGTGTGTTACAGTTGTCACTCTGTCCTCCATGTGTCTCGATGGCTCTGGTGTCTTCTAGTCCTCTGCTTTGCCACGCGTGAGATGCATTCCTCCGGCCCCCTTCTCAGCTCCCTGACTTCCTTGCTGGCTGATTTGGGCGTGTCCTTAATGCTCTGGCGAGAAGTTGTGCAGCTGTGTCTTGTTTCGGCTCCACTTAACCCCACAGAATCGCTTCAACGGGCCCCCAGCGCCCAGCGCCTGGCCCCGCCTGGGGCTGGGGCTGCGGCTCTCCACCCAGACAGGAAAACCGGGCTCACTGGGGGCAGGGTGAGAAATTTCAAAATATAGCCTGGGGGGAAAATCACCTCTTGGGCGTTTAAGAGAATAATGTAGCTGTTTGCTGTGGTTTTTAAAAACACATGCTTCAGGCCCTGGCCAGGTAGCTCAGGTGGTCAGAGCGTGTCCTGATACGCCCAGGTTGCAGATTTGAGCTTGGTCAGGGCACCTGCAAGAATCAACCTCTGAATGCATAAGTGGAACAACAGATCAATGTCTCACTCCCCCTTCATGTCTTTCTCTAAAATCAATAAATACATTTTCTAAAAAACCCCCACGTAGTTCATGTATGCTGGCTCAGTTTCCTTCTACTGCTGACTGTCGGCTTAATCTGCCATGTGGCCATTCTCCTTAATGGCCTCATGAGTCAGGACACAGCACCCTGCCCAGTGTCAGCAATGGCAGCGACTGTATAGTTAGGTAAGTGACAGCTTCAGAAATTGAAAGCACCGAATTGCAGGCGTCTGCAGTGTCGTGAGTCTTGGCACCAGGAAGGCACCGTGTGGCCAGCTACCCAGAAACACTTCCTGGGGGCACTGGCGGCTTTGGGACCAGGGCAGGGGAGGGGACACGAGGGCAGGAGAGGACCAGGGACGCAGGAGTGGGGTTCGTGGCAGACAACGTGATGCCTGGTAGAGCTCTCGTCAGGAAATACTTCACGTGCACCAAAGGTTTGCAAAGTCGTGTGTCCTGGCCGGCAGAGCAGGGCCCGCAGCCCCACCACCTAGCCCTGGATGCTCCCCACGCCGCATCTCCAGAAGTTCCATGAGGAATTATCTGCCTTCCAGATGGCTGCTGCTTTGTGCTCAAGAGCTTCCGTCGGATCTGGGGAGTCTGGTCCTCCAGAAACCCAGAAATGGCTGACCCAACGCACCTCCTAGTGGCCAGTGGCACAGGGCCTGTGGCTGAGTCTGGGGTGGCCCAGGAGCAGCACCCAGACCCAGTGGGCGAGGCTGTTGCGGAGTGCCCACGCCTGGTGCAGGTGGCTGGCAGGGCCTCTGAGAGCCAGTGATGCCCAGAAGGGACCCAGGGGCCTGACCGGGTTTGCCCCCGGGAGCCACAGTGAATGCACCCTGCCTCCTTGCCCAGGGCGATGCTGAGGTAGGGCTGGCATGAGACGGGTCCCCCAGACCCGTGAGACCTGTTTGTTGGGCTCCTTTAGTGAGCCCAAAGAGACACCCTGCTTGGCAGGCAGGTTGCTGTCGGGCCCTCCACGGTGCCGCCCTTCCCACTCCGGCTCCACCCAGGGCTGCCCACGCTGCATGCTCCCCAAAACTCCGGTCACTCCAGTCACTCCTGGTCCCCAGACCAGCTGGACCCCACCCCCCAAAGGTGTGGCCAGCCCTGAACTTCTCTCCTGTCCCCCTCTTCCAGGTGGTCTCCCAAGGGCAGGACTGGTGTCCCCAAGTCCACCAGCAGCAGACCGCAGGATGGGGATGGGAGACCAGGACCCAAGTTCGTGGTTTCTGTCCTCCAACAAGGGGCGGCAGAGGCCCTAGGCTGCTGCTGTGCAGGGTTGGGTGGGCAAGTGGCCCCAGGGCCCATGGATGCCACAGGGCCATGGAAACCTCCCGGGCTGGCTGACAGAGGCACCGGGCAGGCTCACAGCCCAGAAGCTGGCCCGAGAGGGTCAGGGGTCCCATCCTCCAGGAGAGCAGGCCGCAGCCTAAGTTCCAGTGGAGCTGTCCCTTTGGGACAGCAGGGGAGTCCCGGTCTCTGCAAGTGTGCTTCAGCCCCGCCCAGCAAGGGCGCAGCCTGGGCCACCACGTGTGTGGGCCCCCACAAGCCTCAGGCATCCTCAGCAGTGACTGATTCAGGGGAGGGGACCTGGGCAAGGCAGGTCCCCATGTGGGTGTGTTGGTCAGAAACAACAGATTCTTCTAATCCCCACCCCCCACCCCCAGCCCTGGCTGCCCAGCCTGCGTGCTGGGAATGCAGGGACCAGCCAGCACCCAGGTGACATGGGTGGGGGGGGGGGCACAAGGTGGCCCTGTGCGCAGATCTCTGCTCCTGGGGAGACCACTGCCCTGTGGAGAGCGGGGAGGGCCAGGAGCCCTTTTCCTCCTGGCTGGTGTCATCGTCACCTTTGCCTGGGGTTTTCCTGTGTCACAGGACTGTTCTCACACCGTTGGCAGAGTGAGCACTGTCGTGCTGGCTGGAACCCAGTCGTGCCCCTGCTGCTGGGCCTCTCTCGAGAACCTCAGATGTGAGAAGAGCATCAGGGTGCTGAGCAGCCTCAAAAGGCAGCAGCCGTGCCCGGCGAGGCGCACGGGCGCTCGGGCCAGGTCCAGATCGCGGTTCTCGGCCCCTCAGCCCCTGGGGGCTCCCTTTGTGTGGCCCCACTGCCTCCTCCCATGTGCTCACTCGGCAGGCCTGTTTCTTGCAGAGCAGAGTGGAGTGGGGCTCTGAGTTAAACCACAGAGCTCGGCTGCGCGACACAGGCCTGGGGAAGGCGCAGCAGGGGTCCTGCCCCCTCATCACCAGCCCTCAGTTCCAGCAGCTTGCACTGGAAGAACTGGGGGCGTTTCATTTAAAATCCGTTGTGAGTTTTCATTTTTCCAGGGAACACGGGGAGAATGATGGCTGCTAACATGCAACTCAGTGCAACGTGGTTGCGACTCCTGGGACTGTTCCTCGGCTGTTTCCTGTTGGCCGCACCTCCCCCCGCGCTGAGCAGAGCTCTCTGGGGCGGCCAGACCGCAGGTGTCTGAAGCCTGTTGGGGAGAGGCATGCGGCGCGGAGGTGGGGTGTGGGAGGGGAGGACTGGGCTGAATGGCCGTGTGGACTTCCCCGACTAGCCCAGTCCCGACTCCAGGCTGAGAGCTGGGGCAGCCGGGGCAACGCCATTTGCAGGGACCCCGAACCCTGGCAATGCCGCCTCCTGCAGCCGCGCTGTCGACTCTTCCTTGTCCCCAGCCTGCCCCGGCCCCGGCTCCGCAGGGCGTCTCTCCCGGCAGGGTACCCCGAGGAGCAGTGCCCACCGGAGGCCACCTGGCCTCTCCGCGTGGGCGCCCGCGTCTTCACACTCGCACAATCGCTCCACACACCTCACGGACAGCATCTTGCCTCGGGCTGCCGGATATGCTTTAGTAAAAACATAAATACAGAGAAAAATCCCTAACACACATCTGAGCGTTTGCACCCCTCCGTAAACTGGCACCCAGTTAGTGCCAGGAACCCAGTCCCTCCGTTTCCGCAGTCCTGGCCCCACACTGCTTTTGTTTCTTGGTTGTGGAGTCAGGCTCTTGCCCGGAGACAGTCTGGCGAGTCCCGAGTGCCGGTGGTGCCACAAAGCAAACTTCAGAGCACTTTTCTGGCACAAAACAGGAGCTCCACCGCCCATTCCGAGGACGCTGTGTGAAGCTATTCACTGTCTTTGAGGACGGTCTGTCTAGTACCAGCATGATCTCTAAGAAGTTTTTAAATATCTGTAAGATACCCACGAATAGGCTTGACGCAGCGATTATAACATTATATCAACAACAACAAAACTGAAAAAGAAAAAAAAAAAAGGCCCACGGAACGCTGGGTGTTTACCGCGGCATCAGTTTCAGCGCGACGACCCACCTGGGTGGCTGGGGCGCAGCTCCGCGGCGGGCCCATCTGCGGGCCCCGCGCGATCCCTCCGCGGCGGACCCCCAGGCTACCACGAGGCAAAGCCACTGTCCAGGCCCCCTAGGAGAGGTAATACACGCCGTAGGCGGTGACGGGCGCCGCGAGGAGTCCCGGCACGTGCGGCAGGTTTCCTGTGGCAACGCCATAAGCGCCCGAGGAGCCCTGCAAGTGGACGCCCAGGGGGAAGGGCAGGGCGAACGCGGGCAGCAGCGGCTTGGCCACCAGCTTCAGCTTCTCCAGCTCGGCCTCCTGCAACCTCTTGGCCTTGGCCCGGCGGTTCTGAAACCAGATCTTCACCTGCGTCTCGGTGAGGCTCAGGCTGCTGGAGAACTCGGCGCGCTCGGCTATGGACAGGTACTGCTTCTGGCGGAACTTGCGCTCCAGAGCGAGCAGTTGCGCGCTGGTGAACGGTGTCCGCGGCTTGCGGTTGTTCTTGTGTTTTCGGAGGGTGCACGGCAGAGGGCTGGGGGCGCCTGGAGGGACAGAGAAGCACAGATTGGGCGCTCAGACGCCGGCAGTCAGCTCTCCTTTCCGACACTCCTGGATCCCTTTTGGCTCCGCGATCTCAGAAAAGAGACCCCAACAGCCACGGGGGTAAGAGAAGTAAGGCACCGGGGAGACGGTGCAGGTAGGGGCGGGCTGCTGTGGACTAGCTCTCTGCACCCCAAATCACCCCAGGAAGAAGGGAAGCTCTGCCCACTTGGAGAAGCCAGCGGTTTGGGCTGGAGGCCGCCGCAATAGTTGAGCACAGAGGCGTGGATTCGGCGAAGTGGAAGCTCGCTGTCGCGGGGACAGAAGGTGGGGGGGTTGGGGGAAGCGTGCGGTGCGAGACATGGGCGCCAAGAAGCCGCGGGGCCTTGGGGAACCGACCCCGCTCCCGGGTAGGGCGGAAGCCTGGTTGCGTGGGACGCGGGAGCGGTTGCAGGGCTGGCCCGAGCCGGAGGCCTCGGGTGGGTGGCTTCTCTCTTCGTACTCAGGCCGGACTGTCAGTGGCTGGTTACTGTGCGAAGTGAGGAAGGACAGCGCCCCTCCCGCCTTGGTCCTCCCAACTTGGGCCAGGTGGGCCCTCTCGAGGCCCGGGACCGTCAGACAGGGCACTTACGTGGGGAGGACGAGCGGGCGGCAGGCGGGAACCAGGCCCGGGACTCCGCGGTGCCCCGTGGCCTCTCCTCCCAGGGCTCCGCGAGCTCCGGACCCAGCCGGCGCTGCGCCTCCAGGAGGGAGTCGACACTGAATGGCAGCGCGCCGGGCCCCGCGCGGTCCCCGCCAAACGTCCTGAGCCCGGAGGGGTTCATGACGAGCGACGCCGGGGCCATGCGTGAGCCGGCGGGCTCCAGGCTGCAGGGGACTTGGAGGGGACCCGGCCCTCCGTGCCCTATAAAAAGGCGGCGTCCCTTTCATGAGCCGCTGTCCAATCGCCGTGGCCGCTGTCTCGTGGGCCCAGATGTCCATTGGTTTTGCTGACCCGCGGATCGCAGAGGGAGGGGCGGGCCGTGACTGGTCCTCCGCGTCCTTCGCCGGCCGCAGCCCTCCGCGCCGTGGTGCTTCTCTCAGCACTCGCCGCCTTCTCCTGGAGGGCGCCGCGCCCGGCCCATCCCGGAGGCCGCTAGGACACCCGGAGCACGTGGGGATGTCCCCAGCATCCCCACAGGAGGAGCCGACGCGGGCGCGGCCTGGCGGGGTCACGGTCAGAGCCCCCCACCTGGACAGTGCGCGAACCCTGCGCAGCCAGGAGCTCGGCGCCTTCCGCCGCGTCTTTCCTCCTGCCGCGCCCCAGCCCCGAGGTGGACCCCACCGCACGCGCTTTGGCCCAGGCGCGCTCTCGGGACTCCGGGGGCCCAACCGAGGGCCCTGCTCCCAGACTAAAACCTGGGCTGCCGTGGCCTGGAAGTGGGGTCTCAGTGCTCGTGGCCTTGGGTGTCTTTTCAGGGACCAGAGGGTCCTCCGGGCAGGGGCTGCCCTCCCGCTGGCTGGGTTTCCTGGGCCCGGGTTTTCGGGCGGCGGCCGGGGCCGCGGGGAAGGCGACAGGGCCCGACCTCCTACACGCCCCCGATGTCGAGTTTGGGGCACAGGGGGCGCCTCGGCCGGCTCACGGCCCGGAGCGGGGACTCTGTCGCTGGGTGTCGGGCTCGGCGCCAGGCTCCTCCGCTCCGCTCGGCTCGGAGTGTCTCGGCGGGACCCTGGACCTGGGAAAACCCTGTCGCGGGGCTGCTCCCGGAGGCGCCTGCGAACCGCGGCAGAGGCGGGATCTCCACCCCGAGCTCGGAGAAGGAGCCGAGGCCCGACCAAGACCAGTGCTTCCTCCAATTCTTTTTCCAAAGAAAAATAAAACCTGCACCAGACTTTGCTTTAAAACCGTCCCGGGCGCTGCAGACGAGGCGGCGCTCCGCAGCCTCTCCCGGACTTTCAGACTAAATCACGAGATTGGTTTGTGGGTTACACTGCTTGTCTGGTTAATATCCCAGCACACAGAAACAGCAACCTAACCCGATTTATTATATTTATTTTTGAAAAAGCAAAGTTGCTGTAATGAAATCCAGCTTGGGGACAGTTTAACCGTCCAGCTCAGCCAGAAAAATTCAATTAGAAAGTTTTCTCTCCATGCAAATTTAGCAGCAAGGCGGAGAGGGGCCCTCAGACCCGCTCCAGGCCAGGCCTGGTGCCCGCGGCGGCAGCAGCCCTTTCTGAATCCCAAGATGGATTGCCCCTTTCTAATGTAATAAAGATGTTCTGAGTTGATTGAAGATAATTGCATCATTAAAGCATTTTCTTTGAAGGTCTCTCTCCTGGCAGTTTATCTTCAGCAGGGCCACTCACCGGAGTGTTTGAAGAAGAGTTTTAATAAGGAGGACGACCAGCTGCCCCGGCCTGCCGCGCATCAGAGCATCCGCGTGGGACTCGGGGAGGCGGTGCGTGGGCGGAGGAGCTGTGGCCTGGCTGGAGGGGGGGGGGGTTGAGGCTGGGCTGGGTGTCTCCTTCTGTCAGTCTTGTCCTTCCCTGCGGGGGTCTGAATTCATGCCCGCCTCGCCCCCTGCAGAGAGCAAGGCTGGGCCAGGGCTGACCAGGCCCCTACCTGGCTGGGCACCAGCATGGGGGCGGAGGAAGGAGGGAGGACGCAGGTGGGGCGGAGCCCCCCCTCCCCCGCATTGGCCCGAACACAGACCCACCCTCAACACCGCCTCCAGCACAGCAGAACCTTATTTCCGAAGGGACACTGGCCGAAAGAAGCCCTGAGATGGGGGGGGGGGATCGTGGGGGAGAAGGACCCACTTCTGTCACTAGTGTTTTCTGGCTCAGAAACCCGTGTCCCTTTTGTGAAGGGAACCTAGACCCGTGTCCGGCCCCCAGGAGGGCAAAGAATTCTTCGGCACCTGGCCTTGCGGCCCAGGAGCAGCAGCACAAACGGAGCCTGGGCACAGCCGGTCCTTCTTGGGGCTGCTGGGTGCTCAGTCCTCTGCTCCCACATACGCTGGTGGGTGCTGTCCCCCGTTTGTGAGGCGCCGTTTTCCACAGTGACCTGCTGTGTGCCCTGCGCTGTGAGAGGACCGCAGGCCAGGCAGAGCCCTGACACGCCTTCCCAGCGCCCCTTTCCCTTGTGGCCTTTGTGGGGAATGTGCACGGCCGTTGCTTCTGGGAAAGCAGACTGACTTTCTGGAGGGGTGAGAATCTGGGGCTCAAACCCTGATTTCTCTCCTCATGTCTTCTTACTCTTTTAAAAAAGATTTTATTTCTTTATTTTAGACAGAGGGGAAGGGAGGGAGAAAGAGGGGGAGAGAAACATCAATGTGTGGTTGCCTCTAATGTGCCCCCTGCTGTAGACCTGGCCTGCAACCCAGGCATGTGCCCTGACTGGGAATCAAACCGGCAATCCTTTGGGTTGCGGGTCAGCACTCAGTCCACTGAACCACATCAGCCAGGGACTCTTGCTCCCTTTAAAAATAGTTTTTATGTTATTTTAGAGATAGGGGAAGGGAGGGAGAAAGAGAGGGAGAAAAACATCAGTGTGGCCAGTGGCTTTCTGCAGGTCAGGACCTTCCTGTCAGGACCAGGGAGGGGGGACAGAGCCCACAAACCAGGCACCTGCGGGGACTCAAGCTGGCGACCTCTCTGTGTGCAGGACAACACTCGACTAACCAAGCCCCACTGGCCAGAACTGTGTCCTCTCATTCTTCACACCCCAAGGGGCTTGGGCCTGGCGCTGACCCCAGACTGAGCAGCTCAGAGCTGAGCCCCAGCCACCTCTTTATCTGGGGGGGTGACTGGCTCTGCCCTGCTTGGGGCCCAGGTAAGCTGCCTCTGAGGGTAGAGACCCCTTCTGCTCCGACCCAGGCTCCTGCCTCCCAGAGCGGAGCCGGGAGGCAGGCGTGCTGTCTCCTGGAGGGACCTGGCTGTTGGGCGAACTGCTGTAGAGATGGGGTGGGGCCCCAGGGCCTTGTGCGGCAGGAGGGCGGCCCCAGGCCAGTGGGAGGGCCCTGAGCAGAAACAGGGTGGTCGGCCCTTGGCGGACAGGGCTGCCATGCCACCCGGGTGTGGGCCCGAGGGTGTGGGGGCTGGGAGAGGAGCAACAAGCTGCAGATATTTATAGGGTGCTGTTTTGGCATTGCATGTTGTAGTCATTTGCCTTATTTTGAGGATTATCAACTTTTCTTTGGAGATGCTTAAAAAGTGTGGGCCGGGTTGGCGTGGGGAACACCACCATCCAAAAGAAGACAAGAAGAGGGCAGGATGGTTTGGGGGACAGGGAGCCCAGTGCCACTTCAGGCTGGGAGCTTCTCACTGGTACGGCCCAGAGGGAACAGCAGGCAGGCGCAGGGCGCAGGCGAGCTGGGCGGCACAGGGGCTGCTGCGTGAAGGTGAGCTGAGGATCTGGAAGAGGGAGCAGCCCGCGGTGTGTCGGCGCTGCTGAGAGACCAGCTCTCAGGTGCCTAGGCTGCTGTGTCCCCCTTTCCACTTTTACTGATTCCCACTGTGATTTTTAATGGTTCTTCTACTTAGTTTGGGTTCTGTTTGCTCTTCTGTTCCAGGTTTCTTACTGTGGAAGCTGAGTCATTGATTTTTAAACCATTCCTCCTTTCTAATGTAGCACACAGTGCTATGAATTTTCCTCTAAGTACTGCTGCGGCAGCACCCTGCTCTTTAGTGTTTTCGTTTTGACTCAGGTCCAAATACTAATTTCCCTTCTGATCCTGGAGCAAAGTGTGTTTGATCTCCAATGTTTCTGTATTGATTTTCAGGTGACTTCCATGTCAGAGAACACACTTTGACTCACATAAGTTCTTTTACATTTATTGAGACTTGTGTTATGACCCCAAATATGGTCTGTCTTGGTCAATGTTCGGTTGTCCTGGCAAAAATGTGGATTCTTCTGTGGCTGGGTTGGGTGGTTGGTAAGTGTTCACTGGGTCATGTTGGTTGACATGCACCTGCCTGCTGTGTCATGGCTGATTTTCTGCACACTTGTTCGATCAATTATTGAGAGAGGGGCATGGAAATCTTTAATAGTAACCGTGAGTTTGTCCATTTCTCTTTATGGTCCTTTCTGTTTTCACTTTGTGTGTTTTGAACCTGCCTTACTGGGCTCATAAATGTTTAAGACTTATATCCTCTTGACAAACTGACTCTTTTATCAACATGAAATAACCTTCAGTTCTGTTTTCCAGTTTTACAGTTAACTTTGTCTAATACCAGAATAGAAACTCTAGCCTTGGCTGGCATGGCTCAGTGGATTGAATGCTAGCCTGAGAACCAGAGGGTCACCAGTTCAGTTCCCAGTCAGGGCACATGCCTGGATTGTGGGTCAGGTCTCAGTAGGGGGCGTGTGAGAGGCAACCACATATGGATGTTTCTCTGCCTCTCTCCTCTTTAAAATAGACAAAAATCTTTTTAAAATCTATTTTATTTATTGTTTTAGAGAGAATGGAAAGGAGAGAGAGTAAGAGGGAGAGAAACATCCATATGTGGTTGCCTCTCATGTGCCTTCTACTGGGGACCTGCCTGGCCCACAACCCAGGCATGTGCCCTGACTGGGAAGTGAACCCACGACCCTCTGGTTCACAGGTTGGCACTCAACCCACTGAGCTACACCAGCCAGGGTGGTCACTTATCTTTTAAAGAGATTTAAATAATATGAAAAAGTCTCTATTTCTCCTTGTAGTTGTAATTTTTGGTGCATTTGCACCACCGGGAACAGAAGCCACAGGGAGGCCAGCAGGGCGGGGCTGAGGGTGCATCCCGGGGGCCGGGGCAGGCTGTGCAGGGCAGCCCTTGCACAGGCCTTGGCTGGGCGGAGCAGAGGGGCGGCAGGGACAGAGTGGTG